TTGGCGGGCGAGAGGGAAGCAGGCGACTTTTTGGCCACTTTTAATCGCTCGGTATTAATTAACCACAAGTTTTTAAAGAATAAATTTGGTGTTCCGCATAAGACTAACCACAAATCTTTCATATGTAATGGTTAAAAGAGTAATAAAAAACAAAGTTTAGTGGTTCTTTAAAGCTAAATGCCTGAAGGCCCTTGATTTGTTGAAAGTTGTTTCCAACTCAAAGTGGGGAGGGCATGAAGCTACCCTCCTCCACCTATATCGATCATTGATCCGCCCGAAATTTGATGATTATGGCTCCATCGTATATGGTGAAGCCTGCAAAAGCAACCTAAAACTACTTGATGCTGTCCACCACCAAGGCCTAAGACTTTGTCTTGGGTCCTTTAGAACCTATCCTATTGATAGTCTCTATCTTGAGGCTCCCTTAACCAACGTCGTATCAAATTATCATTACAGTATATAACAAAACTCTATTCTAACGAATCTAATCCTGCATTTAACTGTGTTTTCAATCCTCTTTATGGGGATTATACAACAAAAAATCTTCTCTTGCTCCGCCTCTTGGGCTAAGAATTAAACCATTAATTTCTGATGCCGGCATTGAGCTGGAAAATATATCTCCTTCCCGTTTGCTTTCTTCTCCTCCTTGGCAATTGGTGAGGCCTGAAGTTGACCTAACTCTGACAAAGTTTAAGAAATCTAAAATTAATGAATTACAGTATAAACAAGAATATAATCAAATAATCAATTAAAGAATAAATATAATACATACAAAAAATATATTAATAAACACCGTAAATATAAACAATACATAATCTTTTCCGATTCTCTTGCGTGTCTTCAGGCTATTAAATTTTTTTCTTGTAAACATCCACTTTTATTAGAAATTATTGAATTGTATAATGAGCTTGCTTCTGGCCAATGCGACATTGTCTTTTGTTGGTTACCCAGCCACTTTGACATTTCTGGGAATACAATGGCTGATCTTGCTGCCAAGACAGCACTCAATAATTCTGTGACGCCACTTCTTATTCCATACTCTGATTACAAAGCTGGCTTTAGAACCTATATCCGTGATCTGATGCAAAAGAAGTGAGACACACAAGTAGGTATTAACAAATTACATGACTTGTCTTGCTTGACTGTGTTGAATATTCCATCACAAGGATATCTACTTCAAATCACGAACTATGAAAGATCTTTTTAATAATATAAGTTCTCATTTAATTATTGCATTTTAAAAAGAATTAGATTTGTTAACTGATTTGTAAATAGATAAATATTTTATGATTGGAAGTATAAATTAATAACGCAGATTGTTAAAGTACTGTCGGAAATGCTAGAAAAATGCTTTTTAGCCTTAATATCTTTATAAAGGTGATAAATGTAATATGTTGTCAATATATCAACTCGTCTATTGTCTACCTAATATTTATTGCAACTGATTTAACATTCCCATGCATTTAAAGGGCAGTTTACAGGAGAGAATTTGGTACCAAAACAGCAACTTAAGATTTTTTCAGAGTTCAACAACAGAAATCTGAAATAGTCTTTACATTTATGCTAATAATACAGGTGGTGTAAAAATATGAATTAACGTGTTTATAAAAAAATAAATTTTGAATGTTTATGTTACTTTACTTAATGATCGTTTCTTTATTGAAGAAATATAATATAAATGTTAAGTCTTGATAAATAAGTTTCCCGTCATGAATGCACATCTTTATCACAGCGTCCACTATGGCCAACGCTTTGTAGTCGATTGTTGCAAAGGTTTATAGGTTTTTTCCGCTTAAAAAAGACAGAGTAAACCTTACATTAGTTTAGAAAGGGTTTATTACAGAACTTGTAGAGCTGTTGGCATGTCTTACCAACAAGTTTGCAATATTGTAAACAAATCAGACAAGACAGGGACCGTCTCAAATGCAAAACCGGGACGTAAAACCATCCTTGACAACTTTGACAAGGGAGTGCTTAGACGGGGAGTCTACAAACTTTATGAGAAGAAAAATATATATATTCTAAAGAAGCTACGCCAGTGACTTCGTTAAATCTTTGGCCAATGTTCACAACTAGATTAAACTGACCGAATTACATTTATATTTTTGCAATGAAATATACTGTTGACATGCAAAACATTTATTAAAACGTTGCACATTTCTACAATCCATCGATAAGATAACACAAGTGATAGGATTCTTTCCAATGTACAGTAATTCGTATGTTTATTTCAAAACAAACACACATACACAAATGATCCCTTACATAACCGATACGTATGCTATACGTACACATATTCAACATTTTGCAGAAAACACCTATTGAGATAACCCCTCGCCCGAGCGTGTGCTCAGGTTTCAATTTCACCTGTCGATACCGTGGATGCTGATGACGTAACACAGGCAGTTAATGTTTGTATCAAATAACGTCCCACTACCCCTTATTTTTCTAAGTTTTTGGTATTTTCATCAGTGAAAACACATTTTAGAGCATGTCTTAAAATTTATTCCCTCGGTCTACATTAGGTAGATGTTTCTTGAAGTGATATTTGTTATTTAAGTAACTGTAATACCTCTGAATTTTAAATATAGGTCAAAAAGCATTTTTCTAGCATTTCCGACAGTACTTTAGTGGCTGTGCCCTCAAGGGGGTTAAAGTATTGTAAAATTAATGTCCTCCTGAGAGGGTACGTACCAGCCCAACATTTTCAAAGTCAATTTAAACTTACCAGGAGTTTTAGACGTAGTATTCTTGTTATTTTAATTTTGGCTGACATTTCTTACAATCGCCGGCAGCTGAAGGGATGGTGTAAATCCAACTAGGGTCCATGCAGGTAGCAAAGGTACTGTAAGTCCCCATGGTCCCTGGTATGGTGATCTACCTTCAGTTGTTGGTGATTTATAGCCTATTTTTATATTGTGTTGTCTTCTATAGTTGAAATGTTTTAGATTTAATTGCTAATTTTACATTTATATCTGTGATATTCTAGTTGTTTTACTGTCCTTTGCCGACAGCTATTTAAATTAACTACCTTGTTGTACCTTGGCTGTAATATTGCCGATGCGATGTAAAATTCTAACTCACTCACTCACTCATATATCATTAAAATAATGTGGTCCCAATAATCATTTTACGGTTGTGTCGAGATTCGGATAACTCGAAGTATTTAAGCTAGCACCTTCAAATTTAATGCTATGATTAGTTTTTTTCATCTACCAAATATTTCATGCTTTGTCATCAATTGGTGTTTCACGTTTCAAGCAGGTCAGCATTAACGCATGGTCGTCATAAGAGCCGATTGAAGAGAGGCTCAGCGCTGGTAATGTATCGACTTAATACGGTGGTGTGGTTCGTTTCTTGTGCCTCAGACACTGGTATATATGGTCCATATTCGATAACTTATGAACCGCCGAAACCTATGCTGATTTGTTCTGACTGCGGCGGAAACCAACATTCACTTCCGCATGGTTTAATGGTTTCCACAGCTGTGTGAAACTCTGTGCTGTTGGATCATCGTGATATATCCTTCCTTAAATAAGCACCGAGCCACTTCATGTCGAAGGGAGTGTTTTACATTTGTGATACAACAGTTTATGGTTTTCAATCTACATCCTCTTTCATAAACCTTGTTACTTAGTATAGATTACTGCACAATAGCAGATACACGGACGGAACTGATCACTTAAATGTATAACGTTCCACGCCCAGACCACATCGCAAGACATGTGTACCAGGATATAACTGTTCTTAACCCTGGCTGCTCGACATATATCGCTACAGCCCACAGTGTCTACATCTGGTACAACTGACGAAGTGTTAAGCCATTTAAAATGACTTTGTTTGTATATTTGTAGTTTTATGCCGCACTCAGCAATTCTATCGGTATGACTACAGAATACCGGATACCTTCCGCCATCTTTGAAAGCACGCGAGTTTACTTAGGGTTAGGGTAAAGGTTAGGGATAGGGTAAGGGTTAGGGTTAGCGTTAGCATTATGGTTAGGTGACACTAAACAATATGGCTGGTAGGTATCCGGTATTCTGTGTACCATTCTATCCTTGATCTTCACGGAATACGACGCAGTGGCCATCACAAGTAGCACCGCATCTTGCTATGTTCCAAAGAATAGGCAGGGGCATTCCATCAGTATTTTACTGAAAAACCGTCGTATAATTTTCTACGTTAGTGAAAAGCATTTAACGTCGCAGATCCAAACATTCCGACTACTTGACAAAAACACAATTAAGCCATTATCACCATCAGAACCTCACTTATCGTCCAATAAATATCAAGAGTAGTGAATTAGGAATACAAGCTGCACTCAATGACACACATAGTTAAACTGTGAAAATACCATTCACTGTTATTGGCATTACCATGATATTGCTGAGAACAGCATTATGTTCTATACTCCTTCCCCATAACAAGTTTGTTTTTTTATCTGTCAAACTATAAACAAATCAAGATTATTCAGATTATAAGCTTCAGCAGATGCTGTTGGAAGTAAAAGGCAATTGGTCAAAGATGTTTCAACTGAAAATCAGTTTCGACACCAGGTATCGGAAAGACTATATCCTCTCACGAAAACTCCACCACACATACCAAATGTGTGCTTTTGTGAAACGCCTCAATTATTAAAAAGAAGTATGCTGAAACTAATATCATGTAACATAAACTCTACTGAAACCCTGTATGTCCGCTATGGGGTTATGTGGCAGGGCAGTGTAACTGGCCCCCCACCCACTCAATGTCCATACAGAATGTTAAAATATATACCGCATTTATTTGAGGCAACTGTCTACACTCCGCACTCCCCAACCCCGCTCTTCCCCAACCCCGCTCTTCCCCTTCCACACACAAATCTTAAGCTAACATATTCTTGCCATATCTATCCTTCTACTCCCCGTGTTCTCACTTACATGTGTTTCATGTTAGGAGGGATGGTACTTTCTTCTCGTGTTTACAACAATGACGTTACCCAATTTGTTTTTATCACCGACCTTGTGTTATGGTTATCCCTGCGTGTACCGAGGCGGCGTCATTCTGCATACCGTGCATTTCACTCTCTAGTCTTTGGAAACGAATTTCAGAAAGTCGCTCCGCTTCTTCGACTTGAGCGTGGGAAATATTGAGACCAGTGTTTAGTTTATCTTCAATCTCGCCTGATTTCTCTTGTAGCCGGTCCAGGGTAGTGTTCAAGCCGCTGTTGATATACTCCAGTTTCGAATTGAAATAATCCAAACCTTCAGCGAACTTCTCAAACGCACCTTTCATTCTTTCAGAAAATGCGTCTATTTCGAAGCGTAGACTCTCAAACATTGGTTGGTGTGAGGTGCAGATGCTGGCAAACAATACAAGGATGAAAAAGAATAAGAGTGGTTTCTGTAAGACCTCCATTTCTCCCTCACCAATGCACGTAGACACTTGTCTGCTCTTTACATCAAGTACACAAGAGTTTCCAGACCCGGAAGGAGTTTGTGACGATTAAATCCCGATCCGGTTGTCCGGTTAGCCGAGATGCACAGTTATAAATGGCAAGGCAATGAGATACGTATTCACCTCTCACTAGTTTTATAGGCGACATTAGACTAACATCTAGTTACATTTTACAGAAAAAAGTTTTTAATAACGTTTAAAAATACAATAGAAAGGTGCCCACAGACTTAAAGTCTGATTGTCTAAACTTGCCACATTCTATACTTGCATGGGCTGCACTGGGTGTATTTGTTTCAGGGTCAGTATGACAGACTAAAGCGACATCTGTGACTGTATATTATACATGTATTTCACGTGGTGGACGGACATAACTCTACTACAATCAAACACAACCAGGAACAAATAATGCATGTCTGTTTTATTTATTTGATAAATCAGTTACACGGATATTAGCTTTTGGGACGTTAAACCGCGTAGATCGATGTTATTTAGTTCAAGTTAATTCTCATAGCAGAGTTTTGTATGACAACCTTTCACTATATGGGACGTATTTGTCGACATGATGAATTTTGTTAAACGATTCCATAAACATACACAGCTCTGTCGACGACTTGATTCAGAATCAGAGAAAGTTTGTTCAAAGGTCCAGTCAACAACCATCACTTATATCACGACAATCGTTAATTAGTCGAGTCTGAACCAATCAAACCGTTGTTTTCACGGGGTAGAAGTTATCCAGCGGGACATCTCAATCTTTACATGGCTCATCTCACACAGTGCATCACACCTAGCACCGGACCCCAATTCGCCCAGAAAAAGATAACATGCTAATTGATGTATTTTTATGGCGGCGGTCTGTAAATAATCGAGTCTGGGCCAGAACATCCAGTGATCAACAGCATGAACATCTATCTACGCAGTTGGGATACGATGACGTGTCAATCATGTCAGCGAGTTTGACCACCAGATCCCATTAGTCGCCTCTTACGACAAACATGGGTTACTGAAGATCAATTCTAACCCGGATCTTCACGAGTGTTTTTTACGCCAGTGGAATTCGATGCTGCTGATGTAAACTAGACTCTTGTGTGGATAGATGTTTCGTATTTGATAGAAGCATATAAATGTCCACTAGTGTCTGGGTGTATGTGAGTGTGTATTCTGTATCAGGGGATGGGTGACACTGAATAAACAGTATAAACTGTTACAGAAATTAGGCTATATATTCTTTTTAATTTTTTAAATTCTAATTCATTGGCGTATGTATGTGGCCAATAAAGCGTGAACAATTACCCATTGTTATAGCATATACGTCACATTCAGCACTGATATACAGGAAAGTCTGTGAAATATTCACAAATAGTTAAAGTCATCATTGTAGGGGCTAAGCAAACCAAGGAGACGATACTATTTATAATAAAGATTATTATCCTTGCCATAAAATATGAACTACATATCCATTTAATGAGCACCGTACATATCAGTTGCCTTGAACGAGTGTTTAAGACGATATTACCATGTGTGTCCTAGTTCATAGAGGTTATCACGCGAGTGTGTTTTGAGATATGCATCCTGTATAAGAAATAAACATATAGCGAGTCCCTCAGTGCAGTGGTGCTACTAGACTAACGCTTAGTCTCTGAATATAAATAATTTTGATTGTAACAAAAAAAACTATTTAAATTGAAAAGGAGCTCTAGTGAAACGGGAAATTCAGTACGTGGGTAAATACTGACTTGCTCGATCTAGGGCTTTAGCATAGACTAACGCTTAGTCCCTGAATATATATATTTAATTTTAATGGTAACAAATAAACCCATTTAAATTGAAAATGAGTCCCAGGGGGTTGGGAGATTCAGGGACTTGCTTCATTTATGGTTTAGCATTGCAGGGAGGGCTGGGCATTAGGGGAAATAATGTGGTTAAGGGACTGTGAGACGGACTAGGCTTTAGCATTGCAGGGAGGGCTGGGCATTAGGGGAAATAATGTGGTTCAGGGACTGTGAGACAGACTAGGCTTTAGCATTGCAGGGAGGGCTGGGCATTAGGGGAAATAATGTGGTTCAGGGACTGTGAGACAGACTAGGCTTTAGCATTGCAGGGAGGCTGGGCATTAGGGGAAATAATGTGGTTCAGGGACTGTGTGGTTGAGGGACAGATTAGGCTTTAGCATTGCCGGGACGGCGTGGCATTAGGGGAAATAATGTGGTTCAGGGACTGTGAGACAGACTAGGCTTTAGCATTGCAGGGAGGGCTGGGCATTAGGGGAAATAATGTGGTTCAGGGACTGTGAGACAGACTAGGCTTTAGCATTGGAGGGAGGGCTGGGCATTAGGGGAAATAATGTGGTTCAGGGACTGTGAGACAGACTAGGCTTTAGCATTGCAGGGAGGGCTGGGCATTAGGGGAAATAATGTGGTTCAGGGACTGTGAGACAGACTAGGCTTTAGCATTGGAGGGAGGGCTGGGCATTAGGGGAAATAATGTGGTTCAGGGACTGTGAGACAGACTAGGCTTTAGCATTGCAGGGAGGGCTGAGCATTAGGGGAAATAATGTGGTTCAGGGACTGTGAGACAGACTAGGCTTTAGCATTGCAGGGAGGGCTGGGCATTAGGAGAAATAATGTGGTTCAGGGACTGTGAGAAAGACTAGGCTTTAGCATTGCAGGGAGGGCTGGGCATTAGGGGAAATAATGTGGTTCAGGGACTGTGAGACAGACTAGGCTTTAGCATTGCAGGGAGGGCTGGGCATTAGGGGAAATAATGTGGTTCAGGGACTGTGAGACAGACTAGGCTTTAGCATTGCAGGGAGGGCTGGGCATTAGGGGAAATAATGTGGTTCAGGGACTGTGAGACAGACTAGGCTTTAGCATTGCAGGGACAGGCTGGGCATTAGGGAAATAATGTGGTTCAGGGACTGTGAGACAGACTAGGCTTTAGCATTGCAGGGAGGGCTGGGCATTAGGAGAAATAATGTGGTTCAGGGACTGTGAGACAGTCTAGGCTTTAGCATTGCGGGGAGGGCTGGGCATTAGGAGAAATAATGTGGTTCAGGGACTGTGAGACAGATTAGGCTTTAGCATTGTCGGGACGGCGCGGCATTAGGGGAAATAATGTGGTTCAGGGACTGTGAGACAGACTAGGCTTTAGCATTGGAGGGAGGGCTGAGCATTAGGGGAAATAATGTGGTTCAGGGACTGTGAGACAGACTAGGCTTTAGCATTGCAGGGAGGCTGGGCATTAGGAGAAATAATGTGGTTCAGGGACTGTGAGACAGATTAGGCTTTAGCATTGCCGGGACGGCGTGGCATTAGGGGAAATAATGTGGTTCAGGGACTGTGAGACAGACTAGGCTTTAGCATTGCCGGGACGGCTGGGCATTAGGGGAAATAATGTGGTTCAGGGACTGTGAGACAGACTAGGCTTTAGCATTGCCGGGAGGGCTGGGCATTAGGGGAAATAATGTGGTTCAGGGACTGTGAGACAGACTAGGCTTTAGCATTGCAGGGAGGGCTGGGCATTAGGGGAAATAATGTGGTTCAGGGACTGTGAGACAGACTAGGCTTTAGCATTGCAGGGAGGGCTGGGCATTAGGGGAAATAATGTGGTTCAGGGACTGTGAGACAGACTAAGCTTTTAGCATTGGAGGAGGAGGCTGGGCATTAGGGGAAATATTGTGGTTCAGGGACTGTGAGACAGACTAGGCTTTAGCATTGCAGGGAGGGCTGGGCATTAGGGGAAATAATGTGGTTCAGGGACTGTGAGACAGACGATGCTGAGCATTGGAAGGTGCTTTGGACAATAAGGGAACACTTGTTCAATGTAAACGGCTTGTGGACTGATGTTTGGGAGGACATGTATAGCATTGCCGGGACGGCTGGGCATTAGGGGAAATAATGTGGTTCAGGGACTGTGAGACAGTCTAGGCTTTAGCATTGCGGGGAGGGCTGGGCATTAGGAGAAATAATGTGGTTCAGGGACTGTGAGACAGATTAGGCTTTAGCATTGCCGGGACGGCGCGGCATTAGGGGAAATAATGTGGTTCAGGGACTGTGAGACAGACTAGGCTTTAGCATTGGAGGGAGGGCTGAGCATTAGGGGGAATAATGTGGTTCAGGGACTGTGAGACAGACTAGGCTTTAGCATTGCAGGGAGGGCTGGGCATTAGGAGAAATAATGTGGTTCAGGGACTGTGAGACAGACTAGGCTTTAGCATTGCCGGGACGGCGGGCATTAGGGGAAATAATGTGGTTCAGGGACTGTGAGACAGACTAGGCTTTAGCATTGCAGGGAGGGCTGGGCATTAGGGGAAATAATGTGGTTCAGGGACTGTGAGACAGACTAGGCTTTAGCATTGCAGGGAGGGCTGGGCATTAGGGGAAATAATGTGGTTCAGGGACTGTGAGACAGTCTAGGCTTTAGCATTGCAGGGAGGGCTGGGCATTAGGGGAAATACTGTGGTTCAGGGACTGTGAGACAGACAGACTAGGCATTGCAGGGATATTATTAGGGGAAATAATGTGGTTCAGGGAAAGTGAGACAGACTAGGCTTTAGCATTGGAGGGAGGGCTGGGAGCATTAGGGGAATAATGTGGTTCAGGGACTGTGAGACAGACTAGGCTTTAGCATTGCAGGGAGAGCTGGGCATTAGGAGAAATAATGTGGTTCAGGGACTGTGAGACAGATTAGGCTTTAGCATTGCCGTGACGGTGTGGCATTAGGGAAATAATGTGGTTCAGGGACTGTGAGACAAACTAGGCTTTAGCATTGCAGGGAGGGGCTGGGCATTAGGGGGAATAATGTGGTTCAGGGACTGTGAGACAGACTAGGCTTTAGCATTGCAGGGAGGGCTGGGCATTAGGGGAAATAATGTGGTTCAGGGACTGTGAGACAGACTAGGCTTTAGCATTGCCGGGACGGCTGGGCATTAGGGGAAATAATGTGGTTCAGGGACTGTGAGACAGACTAGGCTTTAGCATTGCAGGGAGGGCTGGGCATTAGGGGAAATAATGTGGTTCAGGGACTGTGAGACAGACTAGGCTTTAGCATTGCAGGGAGGGCTCGGCATTAGGGGAAATATTGTGGTTCAGGGACTGTGAGACAGTCTAGCTAGGCGTTAGCATTGCAGGGAGGGCTAGGCAGTAGGGGAAATAATGTGGTTCAGGGACTGTGAGACAGACGATGGTGATACATGGAAGGTGCTTTGACAATAAGCAAACACTTGTTTCATTGTAAACGGCTTGGGTGCTGATGTTTGGGAGGACATGTATAGTCTTGCCGGGAACAGCCGGTGGATCTCTCATTTTCATATAATTATCTCCGTTATTTCTGCCTTATACGCCAAATGGAACTTGTGGCGGTTGAGATAAGCGAGGTCGTTTTTCCCTGGCGTTGACGTCGTGTCTTTGGTATGAGTGTGGTGGCTATCATGAAGATTCCAGTATTATTTATAGACTTTAATGGCAAAATATGAAAGCTTCTAAATAATTATTCCTCAAGACATATCTCCTCACTAAAAGTATTTCCCATATGTAATTTTGATAGTTTATACCAGTTCACAAATGATTATCATAATTATCATGTAATTAGTTTTACAGGTATATACACAACTATTACTGCCAAACTCGTATTCTCGTTATTCAGTGTTATGAAATCTATTTTAGTCTGTCTATCAGATTATGGTAGGGTGTTGTTTTGAACTTCATAGCATATGGTTGTTCGTAACATATCCATATACCAATGCCATCAGGTTACGGTATTTACTTAGAATATATCAGTACTTTGTAAGTGCCAATGTCCACAACGTGCCTGTCAACCGCTTTACCTTTTCAAGAGTTTTCTAATTGACCGTAACATCTTAACAGTCCATCGCTTTAAGCGTCCAGTTACGCTAATTAACCATCAGGTGTGAATTAATCTTACCTTCGTCCTTCAACAAACTGATGACCATCCGTTGACGCTGTTATAATCCATTCTTTTGTGAATTTGTGATCAGCAACGCCCGCCATTTTAACTCTGTGGCAATCAGTCCATGTCGAAATGAGCTAAACGCTTTTTGACTCAGATCAGTGTTTTGCATTATGAAGTGTATATAACCTAGAGAATTACGTACAGAAGAACCCAGAGTCGTATTTGATGCAATTTCAAGTCATGTTATAAAAGTTGTCATTCATAAAGTTGTATGTTTCATTTTTGGCTAGGTCATGTTATTGAACATCTTATGTGTCAGATTAAATCCAATTGCCCCCTGACAATTGTAATCTTCCTCGTTAATTAGTCCATCCTAAGTCCCAGCCGATGTTGCTCGTTGCGTCCCCTCGGTAGGCAGCAAGGACGTAGCAGGACCAAGCAGGACGCAATTGTTTATCTTGTGATGCTGGAAGGCAGTCGGTGTATAAATTAGAAGTCAGTAATTGATTGGTAAAACGAGTCATTTTCATACCAAATACTTCCTGAGATTCTGTCCTCTTTAAGTCATAGAATTGGTCTATGACAGACAATTGATCATTTTCTCACCTCTATAAACATCTTGACTGGTTCTGAATTTGGCAGTCAACAGGTACGTTTCAGTCAAAGGGGAGATACTTCATTAAAAAATGTCCCCTTGTCCTTACAATGTTCAATATCTGATGCTATAAATAGACTGTACTATTTGAAAATAGAAACCAATTGTTATCTTAGTAACTATCAAATCATTCAGAATACCCACATAAAGAAGCAATCACCATATATATCATAGTGCATGGCCATGCATACTAAACATCAAGCTTGAGTGGGATATGCTAATAAGGAAGCATTATGCTGACGTACTTTAACTCCCCACACGAGTACGATGCGTGAAGCTCATTTCTCCTGTCCCCAGCCCTGATATTGCAAAAAGCGGCGTAAACCTAAACTCACTCACTCACTCCCCCTGACACAACATCTGTTATGTATCGGTGGTCTTGGAAAGCTATCTAAACTATCTTCCACTTGACATTCAGGAGAGGGGTGTAATGTTACGGTGGGGGTTTACTCGCAATGCAAGGTTGCCCTAAACTTGCGCAAGTTTGTAAGGTAATAATTAACAGTTTAAATGATAATATCTAAAAACTATAAATAGAAAGAACACACTGTCTGGCTACGTGAGTCATTAAACGACGAGTTCAATAGTCTGCCATAGTGTATTTTCCCAGAATTAGTCTACAATAGAATATTTACTCTCAGGTGTTATACAATGTTACAATCATATATTGTAGAATGTCGAGCCTCTATGGTCATATATTTGAAGATTTATGCGTTTTTGATAATGGAGTTTTGAAGAACACTATTGAAGTGGTTTCCACTTCCATGCTCTGATTAAAACTTATTTTGAATAACAAAGTCAAATATGTAAATTGTACAAAAGGCCTCCGGCCCATACACATTGGGGTTATACATAATATACTACATGTATTGCAAAAAGTAGTAATTAGTGTTTCAAACAACGAATCATGTTACAGGCAGTAAATTACATTATAAATAATGACTTACGATGGATCTACAAGACTTTATATCAAATTGGTACGTTTAATAACGCATAATTAATATAGTATGACAGCTGTATTGTTACATGATGGTCAGTTGATGAAAGTAGTTTAAAAGCTAATGTAGGTGGCTTGTATAGATAACATTCAGGTACATATTTCGTACGCAAATCTTCATTAACAGGACATACAAGCAAAAACTGAATTTCATTTTTCACATCTAAATTACACAGAGGGCACATTTTCTTGCGTCTTTCATTATATAATCGTCTTCCTTCATTTACCATTATGTTGATCAAGCCTAACCTAGAACTTATCTTAATTTCTTGGAACCTACCTATCGTAAATATAACAATATAAGTCTTATGCAGATAAACTGATGAATCATACGTTTCAGTATACCGTTCCAAAATATTCAACTGAGTTTGAAGTCCAACTACAGATTATAATAAAAGAATGACGTCATCAGCAAATACAAGAAAAACAATATTTGCATGCCATGCTTGCCATTTGAGTTAATATCGTAATCTCCCTTGCGACGATAAATCCTCTGCCGACCACCATAGAAGGACAAACTGAATCTGCCTTTACCTGTGAAGAGCACGCGAGACCATTGACGTTGTTTCCAGTCGCCATGATGTCTACTCCATCTCAAACCGCCTTGCCTGTGACGTGGTGTTCGTGGTGGACGAACTGAAGGTCGCCTACAGCGGAGTCCAGCTGCCCTTAAACGTCGACGAACTGCGCTCCTGGATAGCCTTACATTGTGAAGTCTTCTGTCTGAAGATCTGCTGCGTTAAGAAACGACGTGCATATTCCATGGAACCATTGGCATAAAATCTCTGCCACAGTCCACCAATAGCACTCTGACTCACATGAAAGCGGACAGCAACCTGCCGCTGAGTTTGACCAGATCCCAAACGGCCTGTAGCCTGACCCCTTTCAGCAAGTGTCAAAAGAAAGTTTGTAAAACATTCAGTTGCATATATTTCAAACAAAAACGAAGATCTTACAACTTTTAAGAAATAGTGTTACCAATAGCTCGACAATTCATTAATGACCCCGAGTATACATATTTACAAGAGATTCGACATCTGGCATATCTTCAGATAAAATACATGGTGTTGCATCATCTTGCAAAGGATAATCACCAAATGAATCATTAAAACTCATTATGAAATACATCACAACAGCAGCTTTGGCTTATAATTTGGAGATAAACTTACTGTGTTGGAAAGTCAGAGGTATATAACGATTAATTTAAAACCGAACGCGTAGATTTAAGATACATACTGTGTTGGAAAATCACAGGTATATAACGTGATTTATATACCTCTGAATGACTTTGATTAACCAATCACAGTCCAGTATTTACTGAAGTCATGGTAGAATTCTGTTTACAAGAAACACGATATGTTTTGTAGGACTGGCGTGATGTCAACGAGGCTGATTTCACCACTGTGAGGTGTATGGTTGGTGAATGGTATCACGGACAATTAACCAAACACAGATACCGAAGATTGGGTTACCTCACAGTGCGGTATAAAGGCGAAACCGCGGCAACACCCCCTAAATTGTGACTATGTCGGCGATATCCACAACGTGGATTTTGTTTGGGATATGTGTCGGTGCAGTATATTCTCACACGCTGGTAAGAGTTTAAATTAATAAATCCACAACTCAATGTTTCGGGTTCCGTTAGTCAGGCGTATAAGAATCGGTTCCCAATTAAGCAGATCGATGCTCATGCTGTTGATCACTGGATTGTCTGGTCCACACTCGATCATTTACAGACCACCGCCATATAGCTACAACATTGCTGAGTGCGGCGTAAAACTAAACTCACTCACTCATTCAGTCGTATAAGAATCCGTTAATCGTCTCTTTATGATCTTTAGTTTTCAACAGTTTTCGTTCTATATCACTATACACTTTGACTGTCTCTTTTTATCGCATTAAGATGACATGTACCTGGAATGCTTGAAAAAGCAAATGTTGCTCAATCGCCTGCGTCTTTACTCAATCACTCATTTACTCACTCACTCACATGATCGGGGCGTTCCGATCAGCACCCTGTGCCACTGATCTGCTGTCACATTCCCCCACACCAACAGCAAAGCAGCGTTCTGTGTGTAAGATATGGTTTCCCAGACAACCACAACCATCGAATCTATCTACGTTCGACACTTTGTGTTCTTTTCCGGCTTTGGAAAAGACTCCGCCACTATCAACATGGTTAAGCGTGTAGGGTGTACCGCCATCACATAATCGTATACTTTGTCTCCGATTAAAACGCCTCGATAGAGGCCGAAAAAACACAGTGGGTTCCTGATTGTTTAGTCAAATAGGTTCCTCAAACCAGCCTGACACATGGTCTGCAGGCTTGCTGGAAAGAGGGGCGGTGGAGTAGCCTAGTGGTTAAAGCGTTAGATCGTCACACAGAAGACCCGGGTTCGATTCTCCACATGGGTACAATGTGCGAAGCCCATTTATGTTGTCCCCCACCGTGATATTACTGGAATATTACTAAACGCGTGGCGTTTATGGAAGACCCAAATATATTGATTTTGTGCTCGGGTAGAATTCTTGTCTGTAACTTCTTGGACGATCGTGGGTTAAATCCACCTACCGGGATGTGTTCTGGTGACTTAGGGGACTTTCCAACATCAATGCGCAGAATGGTGATGTAGCGATCGGCAGCATTCATGTCTCAGCATTTGCAAATGCACTTTTCAGGAACCAGCTATTGCGCTGTCGATAAACAGCTTCATTGTGTTTTGATCACTGGAACAGAATCATTTACACTTCCTGGTTTGTTTAAAGCAGCCAGGACTTTGGACGTCAAAAGACCCGTTACTCCCCTGTATATATGGGCCTCGTATATTGTACCCATATAGGTATTCCTCCTTTATGTACAGGCGGCATATATTGTACCTATGTTTTACTGCTGTCCTCATAAACTGAGGGACACTTTGCAACGTTTCAGATTAAAGAATTCGCGAATATAGAACCACTTACATTCACAATTCTGTAGACACGTTTGAGAACATCACAGAACACTAAAAGCAGTAGTGGAAGTCGCGGTGGAAGTCGCGGTGGCTGACTTTGTGTGCTGGCGATTAGGTGCCTGACACTGAGGGTGTGGATTCGAATCCCGGATGGGACTCAAGCCAACAAAAGTACTAGAATCTGTACTTTACTGAGAAAGTGTAATCCCAAATATATCATATGTTGCAGTAGTGAGTAATAGTACGCTAGTAAACAAACTGAACACTACGTAGTGCTTTAATATCGGATGTGGCCACTTTGAGCGTCGTCGAATTGAGTGAACAAGTCTTTTGATCATTGATCACACACCCATCTCCGGGGGCCCCACTTCCGGAATGCAACAACGTAACGTACGTTCACCACGCCGCCTATGGACGCGTACACTATCATCATGTTTGTTGGATTGAAACCTGCTGCCGTCGCTAAAGACTACCCGTCACCAATTTTGCTGTCTGACAAACACTCCTGCGACATCCCAATCGTGTACATCCATGTCAGACGTCACCGTCATGTCCTTGAACGGCACGTTTACACCGAGACCAAGTTCACGGAGTCGTCGGTACAATGTCCTTATGCTGATTGGATGGCTAAGGCTGTTTGCACGGGATCACGTCACAGCGAGACTCTGTTCCTCAGGTGAAGTACCTGGAAATAACCATTTACCGTAGGCCTGTCTACTTTTCGGCTAATTTGTCGGTGCCATGTCACAGAGCACATCCCATAATTCGTGCAACATGGCCCTGTGTGGCACCCATCTGCAACATCCTCTTCGTTCGTTCTTTCTCTTTGGTCTGCTGTGAATCGGGGAATGTTAATTGTGTCAAAGCATTTCAGTAAAGAAAAAGTACAGTCAGTTCTGCACGTGTTTTATACCCGGTTCTCACACTTGTTGTTTCCTGTAAACCTGTAAGGTTTAGTGAATTCAGTTTATCGATAGCAACGTGCAACACGTGGTTCTCTTCTCAGACGTGAGTGACTGAGCTAGTTTGGTTTTACGCCGCTTTTAGCAGTATTCCATCAATATCACGACGACGGACAACAGAAACAGGCTTCACACATTGTACCCATTGTTGGGAATCGAACCCGGGTCTTCTGCGTGACGAGCCAAGGCTTTAACCACAAGGCTTTCAGTTTTTCACCCATGAACGTATTTGAACCCGAACCATGACCATATCACCACATGTCATTCATTCTCATGAGTAAATTGCGTCACAGAACTCTGTATTCATTTACGCCGTTAACGTAGAGCCTTGGTTGCCTGTAAATATCACACCACATGTAGGATTTCCGGGCCGTTGTTCTAATCCAACATTCTCACTTTCCTGTGATGTTTGCTACCTCCACACCCACCCTCACACCTACACTTGTTATAATTTGGTTGGTCGAATATAAACTGCATCTCTTTCTGCATGTTTTCATATCACCATCTGAATCTTTTCCATTTCTGCATCTGCATTGCCCGCAAGGAAACTCGAAAAATGTCTCATGTATTATATTTTGATAAATCAAACAAAAAAACCATGCACATTATACAGATTTAACAATGTCTGTATATTCTTCAGTATAGTATTTTGTTATATAACATGATTGCAGGAACAAAGAAGATACGACCCATATGTTGGACAGTACTATTACCGTCGAATTCCAGTAAGTGTATCAATCTGAAGTACATGTATACAGTAACGCAAAACCATATTGGAAGATCCAGCACGTTTGATTCAAGTTGTTCAATAATTATTGTTGTAATAATTATTTGGTTTAATGTGTATTGCGCATATGAATCTATCCGTTACATGGTTAGAGAGAGACAGTGACTCAGTCACGCACACATGGCATCAACAAAGCATGTTAACAGACAGAATCTCAGACGCCCCTTTTATTTAAATTAAAGTACACTGGTTTGTTTGGTATTTAATGTTTCGCTCCTCTTGAGTTGACACAAACACTACATCTGTTATTGCCATTGTGTTTTTCTAAATTCTGCTATTCATCGAACAGAGAATTTACAGGTGTACTAAGTATTCAATTATTGTGTCAATCAAACTAAAATATAGCTTATTCGTTACAAAAGATATCCTTATACGCTTGCAGCATAGTCATCACTATCAACGTCAACACCACCAACGCAGTCAGTGGAAACCTTGGCAAGTGTGTACATTTCTTTAGTGCATGTGCTTGGTAAACTACATGACGTTTATTCAACCAGTGATAAGAGTTTAATGAAGTTAATTTTAGAGTGCGGCCTTTGGCGTTGTTGGTAGAGGATTACAAAGAGAGGCAAGAGAAGATAGCCTACGTATTAATGGAAAAACAATCTTCACTTTGTGTGCTTTGTGCCCTCCCTACCAAAACTGACAGGTGTGCGTGGCCTTACCTGGTGTATAGAGAAAGGTTTAGTCCCCTCATGTGTACGTGGCCTTTCCTGTGTGTGCAGTCCCCTCACGTGTACGTGGCCTTTCCTGTGTATAGAGTAAGGTTTAGTCCACTCAGATGTACGTGGCCTTTCCTGGTGTATAGAGTAAGGTTTCGTCCACTCAGATGTACGTGGCCTTTCCTGGTGTATAGAGTAAGGTTTTGTCCCCTCGGGTGTAAGTGGTCTTTCCTGGTGTATACAGTAAGGTTTCGAGAACTCAGGTGTACGTGGCCTTTCCTGGTGTATACAGTAAGGTTTAGTCCAATCAGGTGTACGTGGCCTTTCCTGGTGTATACAGAACTCAGGTGTACGTGGCCTTTCCTGTGTGTGCAGTCCCCTCACGTACGTGGCCTTCCTGGTGTATACAGTAAGGTTTAGTCCACTCAGGTGTACGTGGCCTTTCCTGTGTGTGCAGTCCCCGCACGTGTACGTGGCCTTTCCTGTGTATAGAGTAAGGTTTCGTCCACCCACGTGTACGTGGCCTTTCCTGTGTATACAGTAAGGTTTAGTCCCCTCACGTGTACGTGGCCTTTCCTAGTGTGTACAGTAAGGTTTCGTCCCCTCACGTGTACGTGGCCTTTCCTGTGTATAGAGTAAGGTTTAGTCCACCCACGTGTACGTGGCCTTTCCTGTGTATACAGTAAGGTTTAGTCCCCTCACGTGTACGTGGCCTTTCCTAGTGTGTACAGTAAGGTTTCGTTCCCTAACGTGTACGTGGCCTTTCCTGTGTATAGAGTAAGGTTTAGTCCACTCAGGTGTACGTGGCCTTTCCTGGTGTGTACAGTAAGGTTTCGTCCCCTCACGTGTACGTGACCTTTCCTGTGTATAGAGTAAGGTTTAGTCCACTCAGGTGTACGTGGCATTTCCTGTGTATACAGTAAGGTTTAGTCCCCTCAGGTGTAAGTGGCTTTCCTGGTGTATAGAGTAAGGTTTAGTCCCCTCAGGTGTACGTGGCCTTTCCTAGTGTGTACAGTAAGGTTTCGTTCCCTAACGTGTACGTGGCCTTTCCTGTGTATAGAGTAAGGTTTAGTCCACTCAGGTGTACGTGGCATTTCCTGGTGTATACAGTAAGGTTTAGTCCCCTCAGGTGTAAGTGACTTTCCTGGTGTATAGAGTAAGGTTTAGTCCACTCAGGTGTAAGTGACTTTCCTGGTGTGTACAGAGTAAGGTTTAGTCCACTCAGGTGTACGAGGCCTTTCCTGGTGTGTACAGTAAGGTTTCGTCCCCTCACGTGTGCATGGCCTTTCTTGGTGTATACAGTAAGGTTTCGTCCCCTCACGTGTGCATGGCCTTTCCTTGGTGTATACAGTAAGGTTTCGTCCCCTAACGTGTACGTGGCCTTTCCTGTGTATAGAGTAAGGTTTAGTCCACTCAGGTGTACGTGGCCTTTCCTGTGTATACAGTAAGGTTTAGTCCCCTCAGGTGTACGTGGCCTTTCCTGGTGTATAGAGTAAGGTTTAGTCCCCTCACGTGTACGTGGCCTTTCCTGGTGTATAGAGTAAGGTTTAGTCCACTCAGGTGTACGTGGCCTTTCCTGTGTATAGAGTAAGGTTTAGTCCACTCAGGTGTAAGTGACTTTCCTGGTGTATAGAGTAAGGTTTCGTGCCCCCAGGTGTACGTGGCCTTTCCTGGTGTATAGAGTAAGGTTTCGTCCCCTCAAAGGTGTAAGTGACTTTCCTGGTGTATCCAGTAAGGTTTCGTTCCCCCATGTGTAAGTGGCGTTTCCATGTGCCCTCAGTGAGGATATGTTCCTTTTTGTTTCGTTACCTGGTTTATGCAGTACGTTCCTTAGCGTGTGACAATGTAAAGCGAACGTTTTTGATTTCGTGTTAGTGACATATTTCCATGTGACAATGTAAAGCGAACGATTTTGATTTCGTGTTAGTGACATATTTCCATGTGACAATGTAAAGCAAACATTGTTGATTTCGTGTAATATATTTGTGGAAAAGTAACACAATATTCCAAGAGGTTGAAACTGATATTCCTGATCGTATGAATCACGCATTTTGACTTTCATTAGTTTTAGAAATGACGTTACCACAGACGTCCTACTTCCACATCCCACATCTGGTACAAGCAGCCACTACACGTTGGTTTCGATCACGCAGGTAAATTTGACCTTTGTTTTTGACAATGTATTTTCACGATCCATATATACGTTCAGGAATATTGTAAGGACTACCAGCCCTTGTGAATACTACAAAGAACTATACATCAAACTATGGACTCGGTTCGTGTGTAAAAAAATGAGCATCTATCTGACACATCTTCATCATATTCTTTCAATGATCGGCTGATTGGCCAATGGTTTTGCTTGTGTGTTAAAAAGGTATGTTGCCTGACTTATGAAGTACGGTTTTTTTTTTTTCGTTGAACATATTGTTGTGCAGATGTGTTATCTGGTTTATGAAGTAAGGATGTGTTGCCTGAAGTAGTAAGTAGGTTTTCTTACATTGTTGTGCTCTTGTTTCCTGGGTACTATGAACGGAGGATGTGTATCCTGATACAACATGATATTGTGGCGTTGTTTCTCGTTCGAAAAGGTTTTGTTGCTTGGTATATTGAGTAAGGTTTTCCCGGTGTAAGATTATGCTGCCTGGTGTAATAAGTCTGATATAATATTACGTTGAATGGTATATTAAGGTTTTTTTTCCGGTGTATCAACTTTTGTTTTTTACCTCAACTTGTTTTCATGTATTATTTTTCTTTGTCCTAAAGGAAGTTCCCTTTCAAGTCTTAACTTCATGTACAGTAGGGGAAGGGGGAACATACCTAATAATCAAAACTTCTTCATCAAATACCTATGTATTGATCTGTGAGCTGAATGAAAAATCCAACAAGGTATTCTAACCCATAGTATACGCTACCATTGTGTTGAACTATTTATCGATTATCTATTACGATTAATATATATCCATTAAAGGTACCGATTCCAAAGCAACCGAATACAAAACTCAATGTTTATGTGAAAAGAGAGTTAAAACTTCCAATATTTCTTTTATCACTACTTACAGAGACAATACAACCATTACCAAGGCACACAGAGAAACATTCAGCCCAGCCGGACTACACAACGACATGTAAATATAGTTGGTCAATGTGCATGCATGTTTCAAGAGTCCAAATTATGTGCTGCAGGAAAACCATTTGCTTCATGAACACATGTGCATCTTTACGTCGGTTCTTATTTACAACTTTCACACGTGTGTGTGTGTTTATGTGTGTACGTACGTAAACGTATGTGTGTATGTATGTGCATGTCCCAATATTATTGTGGAGTCCACCAGGGAAAGCCACATTTGAAAAATAACAGTTGCTGCAAAAGCCACATTTCAAGTACAAACCTCGGTGCCGCGAAAGCCACAATGAGTAAGGGAATCAATACCGGGTTTTTTTCAAATAAGCGTACCCATTGATCACAATGGATTAAAATTGTTTTAGTGACTTGTCTTTTGTTTGTTTAGTTAACATATGACGGGTGGCTTCTTTATTCTCGTACGTTTTTAGTTAACATATGATAACATATGTTCGGAGATATAATGATACATGCTATTTTGGGGGGTATTTTTTTATATGTCTTCATGAAAATTATTGTGGTTTGTATGATTGGCATATTACATCAGCAGAGAAGTTTGGACAAGAATATTCCGTTAAATTTATTGTGACGTTTCAACATCTAAATGTCATTACTTCAACGCTGGCAAAAACACTAATTTGGAAAATTTACTTGTGTGTAGTCATAAATTTTGCTTTAAAACAGCTATGTAATGGAAAGAGTTAGGCGTCACATATGTGGTTGTTTATAGGTATATTTGCGCAATAAATGGTCATTCTCCTATATTGTTTTTTTGTTTTGTTGAGTATTTGGCATGAATGTAAACATAATAACTAAGGCAGATTCTGATACCTTTCGGTATGGACTTACAATAACAAATTATAAAAAATGCAAATTCAACTTATAAAGTTGAAAAATAACGCGATGAAAAAAAACCCCGCGAAATTGGAGTTCAAACGATTCACTAAATTCAACCCAGCTAGGTTGAAAGTGGTTTCAACAGCTGTGCTGCGCCGCGCTGCACTGTGCTCATGGCGCATGCGCAGTGAATTGGTTCACGCAGCTTGAAGCGTGGATTCCAGGATTATAAGGTCGTGAGCAGGAGTAGTCTAATCTTGGTTGTGTACACACAACAAATACTAGTAGTAAATAATCTATTCGTTACATAAATGAACCTTGCTAAGGATTTAGATCTATTCAGCTATGTGTCAACCAGTGAAGCGTTCATTTTAAGACGGAAATCCTTCGCTGACGGTGAGTACTCGGAGAAGGCTTTGATGTGAGCTATTTTGCTAATGTTTCGACTTTTGTTGATTTTTCACAGGCGCGAGCTTTTTATATGTTATGACAGTAGATTACCGATTTAACTGTTTATATAAGTTCATTTGATTATTTGACCACACGTTCTTCTTACGGAGTCACTTTCTCAGTTCGATACTCAAAAGCAACGTCATTATTTAACATTGTCAGAATTCTAACTGTGATATAGATATGCCTCTGTCACAGACAAAACTCAATGCCTGTTTTATTGACACCTATGTGTCTGCCTGCCTGTCTGATAATGACAATATGCAATACACAACTTCGATCACTCACCTCACCCAATTTGAACTTAACACCTATCAGGCTATACACCATAAACAAAACGCATTGATTTATAGCTCGTGTGCCCGAGTTCTGTCTCTGTCATATTATGTAATTACACAGACATGCAGGTGTGATACTTGTATACATGACATGTTATGATGTCTGTTGATTGCAAAATGTTATACCCAAAAAATGAGCATGTACTTACAAAACCCAACATCTCTATACACACACAAAGAGCCCTGAGCGTATCGGCAAATCAACCAGCCATCGAAAGGCTTCGTTACACTTAAGTGCACACCCACCCGCTCTGACTGGGTTCGGTATCCCGGGTGCTTCGTTTCGAGGGAAGTAAACCCAAGTACAAAATATTGCGCTTTTGATTTGCGATTGTACGCTTGAAATTTTGTTTTTATGTTTTTTTCATAATCAGCAATGCATATTATATATCATGAATAAGTGATAATTGTGTCTTAATTATTTTTGTTTTTTTGGTTGCATGTGACCTTTAAATGTGGCTTTCCCGGGCTACAACCATTATTGCTGCAAATCTGTAATTAGTCTTTTGGAGAGCCTAAATGCCCAAGCTGTAGTTCATCGGTCTGTTTCGTGCACAAGGTTGTTTTGTTTTGGATTCACTGAAGAAGCTTTGTTTCTCATGGTTGAAGTTGAAGTGCAATGTATCGACCTACCCGATTATGAATCGACCTTTTCGGGGGCGGCGGGGTAGCCCAGTGGTTAAAGCGTTCGCTCGTAACGCCGAAGGCCCGGGTTCCATTCCCCACATGGGTACAATGTGTGAAGCCCATTTTGGGTGTCCCCCGCAGTGATGTTCCTAGACTATTGCTAAAAGTGGCGTAAAACCATACTCACTCACTCATTCACTATGAATTTTTGTGGGTTTTTTGCATTACTTACCATCGGCGTCACTTTGGCATATCTTCTCAAGTAAAGGCAACATGTCGTTACATAACTGAAGTACTCTTCGCGGCAACGTTAAACAAAACTCACTCACTCAACCTGTCTTAGTATTGTGACTTGTCAAAACATTTCTTGGCGCACGAGAGTTCCCCGACATCACGAATCATGGAAATTTGATATCAGCATGTTCACTGTCCAAGCATGAAAAGATAATGCAAAACATTTAACATAACCTGTAACATTTTTCAGCACCTGTCACCATATTCCGTATGTATACATGTGTCAACTGACAACTTTAGGGACATGTGTGTGTAGCTTGAAATATCGCCACTGTGCCCATCAACCGTGTCACTATGTGAAACAATCATGTGTTCTGGTACCCGCTAAAGGAATCGTTGCCTCATGACAACATAGTATTCTACGATGACAAAACGGGGATCGTGCTGGTGGTCCTGAAGGAAGGTAAAGAAGTGCTTCAAGTACGTTCATCTTGCCTCCTATTCAAAGTATTAGAACTAGTTTTCGACGGCAAATAAGATACTATACACATGGAAAAATATCGAAACACAAATGACTTCAACCCCAATGTAGGCATATATATTCAAATCGCATTTTGTTTGTCTCTACGATTGTTTTGACCCTTTGAGCGTACCGTACATTGATTTTAGATATGAACATACTACGATCAAAGGCAGGCAAAGTGCAAAACGTGTACCCGTCATTAAGCAAACATCAAGTTTCGGTAAAATGTTCTTGCAGCTTTACTTAGAAAATTCAATCTAATTCGTTGTTGATAAGTAAATATCGGAACTCCTCAGCTGACATGTCACTTGGGACTATTGCGAGGGATGTTGGTTGTCATCTATTGATTATAAGCCAGTTGGCCTGAAAACTAGTTACCTCAAGGACAGTCAGTATTCCGGTCGACCACGAGTGACAACTACTAGGAGAGATACAACCGTTCTCGGAATTCAGTGGCGTGTTAAAACCAGAATAGCTTCCACGTCGTCGTTTGCCAACACAAAGGTCCGAAATCGCATGACATCATGTAAAAGGGTCCAATGGTCGGATGAAAGTCGTTCGTGAATGGTGGTTGAACTCACACTAATCGCCTGCAGAAACACTACATAACGGAGTGTCTTGGAGCAAGTAACGTTTGGCGGAATTTCATTAATTGTCTGGCGGTGCCTTTGACATGACTGTAAAGCTGGTCTTGTGACGATCAGAAATATCTGAATGTACATCAGTGACACACCTGGGTGTTTGTACCACATTCCGATGACCATTTCCTGAACACAAGGCCGCTCTTCATGGACTTCAATACGAGGTATCGTGCACGAGTTTTTGATGGTTTGTCATGCCAAGAGGCGTTTGCAACTCTTACTTCACCCGCCAGAAGTTCAGAGCTTAATCCCATAGAGCATGTTTGGGACATTATGGGTCTACAAATACGCAAGAGAGATCATTCAGTATAGAACATTGATATATTGGACGTAAGGACGGGAAAGCCGCTATAACTCGGCGCGCCTTGTGGAAACAAGAGTTGTATAATGGTCCCCAGGGAGTTGAGATTGATAATAAGATGTGCCGTTGAGATTGACATCCAATGATCGAGGGAAATAACACCAGCGCCATGAACATGCACTAGTGTGTGAATATGTGCGCTATATAAATATCCAGCAATAATAATATTGGAACAAGCATTCATTCAAGAATGGAACAAAATGCCTCAACATCACATTCAACGACAACGGAGGATGGTCAGAGATGTTATTGGTGGAATTCACACTAGGAATTCACATTGTGCTCAGTTATTTAAGCTTATGTGATTTCTTGAGGAATGTATGCCCAAATCTTGAAGATGACCGAACTTGGATACGACCATAGTTATCAACACGACAAAAGTCCATATTTTGCCATTTCATTATTCCTCGAAGGTCCATTTATCCACATAATAGGTTAAATTGAGATTTGGATAAGTTCATTTGCTATGGTTAACGGTAACATATTCATAATGACAAATATTGGGTGTGGCGATACATTTTAAACGTGCATAGTATTGAAAGATAATGACCCATATACAGCAACTGAAAGCACACTGATTCATGCAGGTAAGCAGCCTTTAATCATCACATCAACAAATACTCATAAAAAACGTCTTTAACCATTTGTCTACCACCACTTTCCAAAATTGTAATGTGACGGTCACCTAATGTACCATCCCCAAATCAGAAATAAACTGACCGCCAAAAGAAAGTACACAAGGTTTTCAAGAGGTCATTACCATTGACCCAGAGTTTCTACAAACACAAAACATAATGCGGTGGTGTTAACAACATCTGTACTCAACCTGAACTGAAAAACACACGTATACTACATAAACACGTGGCGTCAGATATGCCCAAGGTCACTGGGGGCCCTGAAAACCAGTGTTCAATCACATGGAGGATAAGCAGGTACTGAGTTGCACACAACAAATTTCCACTACCATCACTTTAGTATCCTGTATGTCCAGCCTCCTTCTAGCCGAAGACGTCAGACGTCGGACAAGTCACGGGGTATGCGACGTCATTCGTCCTTGAGGGCTTGTGTACTTTACTGTCTATTCTGTGGTGGGATAGGGCGTTTCCGCACGCGTCAGTCTAGTGCACCCCACATGTGCTCGATCGGGGACATGTCTGGAGAACGTGCTTGCCAGTGTTGAACGTTCACGTTGTTTCTCTCGTCGCTGCCAACGACGAACAACTCGGGCCCAACGCAATCTGTGACGTGTGTGTTCAGGGGTCAACACATGTCCTTTCAAGGGTCTGTAGGCTCTGATACCTGCTGCCCGAAGACGTCTAGCCACCGTGTATCGACTGGCACGGTGATCAAGGAAATTCGCCGCCGATGACGTTACCGTCAGAAAAAGGTTTCTCAGGTGTACCATACTCAAATGCCGGTCTTCAGCTGGTGTTGTTACTCGCGGTCTCCCACTTTTTGGTCTGTCTGACCCGTCTGCCTGTAACGTTGCAGCAGTCTAGAGTCGGCTACACGGGTGCAGCCGAAGGTTCTTGCAACGTTGGCGTGTGTCGACCCAATCTGGAGCATACCTGTAGCCCTCTCACTTTCAACTGCTGATAGTCGTGGCATATCTGTGGTGGTCCTTTTCAAACTGCATGTGTAACCTGTCCGCACACTAACTTTTATACCCTTAGTGCATGTGGAACTCTGACAAAGGCCCAAAATCATGGTTTATACAATTTACCATTTCGACGTTTTATTCACGACGTGCACGTGCATTTCACTGCAGGTATCAAATTGCTACGTTGGGGCGACATGTTTCAGTGTACTTACCTACAAAAATATATCTTTAAAATTTGAGAACTAGTAACTTTTGGTATACTTCCCTTTGCCGGTCAGTTTAGTTAATATGAATTTGAAACAACGGCCATTAAAAAATTATGACAAATATATTTTCATGTTCCATCTTTCTAGTGCACATTCATCATTCTTTTAAAATCATATGAAGTTATTCACGCAAAAACACTTCTTTCACATTTCCTCTAATTAGGGTTTTTGACTCCTTACAATTGTCTTAACAGGGAAATGGACATCAACCAGGGGATTCGATTGGCGGTAAACCTGACATGACACACCAGCAAAGGCAGATATTTGTAGTTGAGATGTTACCTGGCGACGGTCACACAGGTCAAATTCCCCAGCCACTACTGGATCGAGCACCAGAGATGGAGAGGGCATTTGAGGAGGAGGGAGGAATATTTGGATATCTTCAGAGGAATGGTTTACTAGACACTATTTCGAAATATGTTGACTGGCAGATCAGCAGGTTGACAAATTACTTCAAAACAGGTATAGTTACCATATTGATGAACATGCTCATATATCAAGCTCATATCAATGAACGCGTTCTCATGCATACACAGACACAGACACACATACATGCATACATACATACACACATACAAGCATGCATGCATGCATACATACATACATACATACATACATACATACATACATACATACATACATACATACATACATACATACATACATACATACATACATACATACATACATACATACATACATACATACAGTGTTACTTAATCACTTTCAACAGGTTAAACTCACAAACAGCGTTGGAGATAATCAATCAATATAAGATAGGAACATGAGAATAGAATGCTGGAAAATATGATTTATAGACAACAAATTCTTTTACGATAGCCAGTTGAGCGCAAAGACAATGAACTGAAGGTGACTGCTTGGTGTTAAAATCCTACCAGTCATTCCACATGACGAATCAAAAGTAGTAGTAACAGTAGCAATTTCATTAGTGGGAGTGAAAACTGGAGTATTAATTGGGAACGGTTTATGGATGTCAACCTCTATATTATCAGAAACAAAACGAGTCGGGAGCATATTCTTACTCTTTCATTCGAAACTTATAAAAAAAAAATATAACCCGTAAAGATCCGGGTTAGGATTGGTCCTTAGCAACCCACGTTTGGCGTAAAAGGCGACTTGGGATCGGGTGGTCAGGCTCGCTGACTTCATTGAGACATGTCATTGTATCCCAATTGTGTAGATCGATGATCATGATGTTGATCAAGGTCCAGAGTCGTTTATTTACAGAATGCTGCCATATTTGTGGAATATTACTGAGTGTGGCCTTGAACAACAAACCAAGGAATTTTAAAATAAAGCAAGTTTACACCCATTCCAATTCCTTTTATCACTTCCTAATACCTTTCCAATTGTTATTTAGCAGCAGTAGTAGTAGTGGTAGCAGTAGCAGTATTTGTAGTAGTAGTAGTTGTAGTAGTAGCAGCAGCAACGATAGGACAAGATTTAGCATCAGTGGTGATGCAAAATTTAATTCACATTGTCAGTATGACTGCAAGACTTGGGACACGCTGCTCAACCAGCAGTAAATTATCCTCTTGTTTCAAGAATACGTCGAAAACAAATACCACAGGTTACAAGTATGCCTTACAGTTAAAGACGACGCGAGATGTACTGGGCTGTGTCCCCGTGCCCCGTGCGTTGCTACCTAAAACTTGTATGTTAGGTCCAGACTCAAATTTCCTACCTGTCGCCGAGAGTTTAAAATACCGACTACGGCTTCAGTGAATGAAATCTCCACAGTCCTAATTACTTTTAATCAAGGGTATCTAGTCAAATCTTCTTTCCGGCAGAGGTAGTAAAGCCAAACATGCCACCAGTGATATCTTGTCCGAGAAGCTTCGAGGTTAACAGTGATCCTGGTAGGCCCACGGCCCGCGTCAAATGGAATGAACCCACAGCCAGTGATAGAGAGGATCCACCGGCACGCCTAAAGTAAGACATTGTATATTTGCTGGAAAATAAGAAGTCATCTGAGAGGCATTATGAATAATGTGTCGCATAAGAATAGCTTGTAGGTTTTCGTTTTTAAAAAAACTATCATGTATATCTGAAATTCATATAGTTCATTGTTTCATTTCCATATAGACAATACATTCGGCTTACTTTGTGATTCTGCGTTTTAAATGCGGGTTTGGTGCATGTGACTTAACGCTGGATTTGTTTTTCAAAAGAAATGTCTTGAAAATGTGTTCCCGATATTGCATGTGTAAATATATTATGCCCTCGGGATAAATTAACAGAAAATCTTCCAAAACACATGTATGTCTGTGTTAACCGTGAATATTGTCGGAAGGGTACTTGAACAAAGATTGTTATCTATTTATATATTGCTTTTTCAGTATCAGGCAAGAACAGGGTGAACACAATGGTGCAAAGATGTCTGGCACAGTACATGTCAAATACGTTGTGACGGACAGTAAAGGTCGCACGGACTTCTGCACATTTACCGTCAGAGTAAACAGCAAGTATTAAATGATAAGCCTAAGATTTGTTTCAGTGTTACCACGTTCATTGGGAGTAAAGGTGACGAAGTGGCTTTAGGGGCTGAATTGCTTGTTCAATGTGCATCTGACGACAGGGAAATGACGTTTCTTCTTCATATGTGAAGCGCCTGTGAGCAGCCTAGTTAGAACTCGGCGCTATAGAAAAAAAAATAAAAAAAAAAATAAATAAATAAATAAATAAATAAATAAATAAATAAATAAAATGTTCGTCATCGTATCCCAATTGCGTAGATCGATGCCCATGTTGTTGTGGCGTAAAAGTTCACTCACTCACTCATATATGTGTTTTTCCTATGTTGTAAATTGATCCTGCGAAAAAATGACACAATAATTCGATTCTTTCTTTTGTAATAATTATCTGAACTGGCTCATTTTGAACACTCTCTATTACAATACCAAATGTCACATTATAAAAATGCATAGGCGTACACTGTGACCTTGAAACATCACACAATGGCAAATCTGACCTTTGAACTTCACACACGAGAACAAGTGACTCGATCGCTGCTACGTGTGGCATTACCGTAAAACACTTTGCATATGTGTTTCAGGGGTCATGTGCCAGCCCAAACAAATGATCCATGGCAATAATAACTGCAGTACAAACTACGTTTATCACGGCACAGTGTGTCATTTATCATGTGAAGAAGGTTACGAAGTTATTGGAGCTTCCACCATAACATGCCAGCATAATGGACAATATTCCTCAACAAGTTCACGGTGTCAAGGTAAGAGACACTATTTCATTACACGCCAAGTTTGAATTTTATCATCAGATAATTCGTTTTAAATAATATTTGGTGCTTTGTTGTGATTGGGTTTTTTATTGTTAAAGAGTGCAATGAATTATGTACAATTATGTATCGCTGTAAAGAAATCAAATTATAGACAGACAGATTTTGATTTCTATAAGTGGCCATGAGGCCAGTAGTAAAATTCTAACAATGAATTTATGCGCAACCTGTACATTTGCGAATTATATCAATATATTTATTATCGATAAATCAATACTTATTATCTATAAATCATAAACACTCATTAACAATTTACATTTTCTTTTTTCAACCTAAATACGTGTATGTGGTACAACACAAGGACTACCTTAAACAATAATTCAACATTTTCTGTGCGCAGAAGGATACGGAATTTTTCTTGACGGTTGTTTGTAGAAAAAATACGGCAGCTATTTTTCTTTCTTTTTTTCTAAATATACTCCCAATCAAAAGTTTAGACGCACTAGTGTAAATGTAACCATTTACTTAAGTCAACTGTTCCAAAATAAATTTTGCAAAGGTTTCCATACTGTTTAAAGGTACTGTTTACACATGAACTGATGTATTGTAAAACACATTTGTAACGTTCAAAAGATTATTGTCATGAGTTCAATAAATGATGAAACTCAGTGAAAATTGACGAATTCATAACCAAACTTTACACTAAAACGCAACGCTGCTGTTCACATGCATGATATATGCACATGCTCTACAGCAATTTTATGCATGATCCTCGTGCAATTCATCTGCATAAGGCTTTCAGTTGGTTCACCCAAGTTAGTGGAGAAATTCATCTTCGATGTAACCATAAATATATACATAACATATAGTGAGTGCTTTAAGTGAGTCTAAACTTTTGATGGGTAGTATATTTAGGGCAAAATAGGAATTACATGGTACTCATCTTCTTGAGATAGATGACCAAATGGACACTGGATATCTATTGCATTTATAGATTTGGTAAATCGTGCCGCAGTTGTGAGCCTTACATCTAGTTTTAGTATGGCTACGTCTTGTGAACAAGATGAACGGTCAGTTATGAGTGTAAGACTCAAGCACAAACAGAAGCTGACAGCCAAACGTTTTCATACTATTTGGCTTTTCATTTTAGCGTTTAATTGTTAATAAGCAATCATGTAAAATGCAGTAACAAACTGACCGTGATTTGAAAAGAATAGTCGACACGTAGGGAAAAGGGAAATGGTGCCGCTGACACATTTACGTTATATTTTCAGTTTTAGAAACAAATCACATCATGTGAACTAGATTCTGAAAAGAAGACCCCATTTGGATATTATTTGAAACCTGACAGTTTCGTGAAAAAAATCGTTGTGAAATACTTAATTCGTTGTGTAACAGACCTGTGGATTATATTGTATCTGCATTTGAGGAACTCCCTTTAGCAGCGTGTGTTGCCACACTTGTCAGGAGTTACGCATTAATGAATGATGAATTTGTTTCAAAATGTATAATTTACTCAGCTTATGCAAAGTTATGCAATTTAAGAATTGTTACGATATTTATTATACAGCTGTTAAATAAAACGGAACAAACCAAAATAGAAAATTTTGCATACATCTAACATCTTGATATTAATTATGATTATATCTGCACCTTTGTTGGTAGTTTGTGGAATAAACATGATCTATCAAAGTGTTACTCAAGAGCTCTCAACACTCTTACCACAACATAATTTGCTTCTGGCTTGGATGGATTGCTTACTCACAGAATACATTTAATCTTAAGTGCTTTAGCAGTGCATTATGACAAGGCAGGGCTCGAAAAATGAAAAGATCTGAACTTTAAGTAATATGAACTTTCCATGAGTCCTTCTAAAATTGGACTTGCCCTATAGATCATGCATCACAATGAATATGAATTTAAATTACTATATTTCAAAATGTTTGCTTGGAATAAAACTACAATAAACATTACTTACTTTGTCTTCTTCAAAATATTTGACAAAATTTAATTCGTTCACCATTTAAGATAGCTGAACTTCAAATAAAAATAAAAATGTTACTTTTGAGTCAGAAAACGTACTCGTCCTCTAGGACAAGCAAATTATGTTTTTCACTTGCCCGAAAATTTTTTTACTCGTCAATACGAGCGGACGAGTGGAATTTTCGAGCATTGCAAGGTACTCGTAGTTTGTGTTCATTGGAATGCTTTGTGAATCTGGCGCAAAGATTGTTTGAATGGAAAAGGAATTGGAGAAAGTACTTCACACAAGCGTTGGAAATGTCTCTCTGCAAAATTGTGTAAAAAGTCCGTAAGAATTACATAGCAGCTTCGTAGCACTATGTGTAAAATGGTATGTAAAGCCTATTTCTGGGACCCCAAATCTTGCTAAAAGCGACATAGAAATATAGTTACATATATTCACACGTTTGCACGTATTTCCAGCCGTTCGGTGTCCTGCCCTTGAAGAGCCGAAAAATGCTGATGGATGGAAATGTGGTGACGGGTATAATTACCAAAGCCAGTGCAACCTGATGTGCACAGAGGGTTTTAGGCTAGAATCTGACCAGCGAGCACCTTGGCAGATAGTAGGAACCAGGTGCCAGGCGGACAAGACATGGACATTATTGCCAGTATGCAAAGGTCGGTGGTAGCTTGATGATCATCTGCTTTGAAAAGTACACGCGATGGTTAGATTCATACACTTTTTTATGTGTACTCGTTTATTTATGAACTGGGGGTAAAGGCAGTTCAGTCGTTTTGGTACTGCATCTTTGGGTGTGCAGGGAACCTATTTTTGTGGGATGAAATTGGTGGTCGAGTTTCTTGGTTAATCAACACCATATTCCTCCTATCGGTTTTCAGAAGTGGTAGACGTAGACCTTACTCAATTCAGAATTCCCTCCTACACCAGGCATACACATCGCAATAAAACTGAAGAATTGTTCAAGGCGGTGTTGAGTCAAACGTACATGTTAAAAACCTTCCTTGTTTTGGCTTTATTGCAAAGAAAATACAAATATAATGTTATAAAAAAATCATCATTTATAACCAACAGTTCCTGTATGAATATCTTTCATTCTGTCTTGCAAAATATTGCTGGGATACTGAAGTCAAACACGGGTGTGTCGAAGGAAAAGGGAACAGGGCCCTGTTCCACAAAACGACCGTAGCGCTAAGGTGATCGTAACTCCCATACTTTAACATAGACTTACGAATGTCGTACCGCTATGATCGCTTTGAGGAACGGGACCCAGTATGTTACTTAGAGTTCAACACAACGGCTTGACTGCATATGTATCTTCCTGAAAACAATATTCACAAACGTCTTTGAACAGACTTTTCAAATAAGGACTATTACCCCTTTTCTAGAACAATGGTTCCACACTTCACTATACATGTCAGTCACCTAGGTCACACGTGTTTTACTTCTCACAATAACAGACAAAAAACCCGCATGTTTTAACTTAACGTTTTAATGCATATGAATATATTTGTATCACCTACCATCTCATCATATTTTTATTTGAACAGATATACGAGCACCACGGATCACCAACTGTCCATCGACATTTCCCAGACAATTTGCTGACAGAGGTCGTACATCCACCGTTGTGGTGTGGGAAGAAATAATCGCCGAAGACAACTTTGACGACAATGTGGCAATCATTCTGAAGAAGGGCAACGAAAGTGGTTCCCGTTTTGAAGTTGGATCATATGAGATTAGATATCAAGCTGTCGATGAAGCCGGCCTCACGGATGAATGCGCGTTTATGGTAAATGTCGTGAGTAAGTATAACCTTCGTTTGTTTGTTTGTTGAGTGATTGTCAACGGCGGCGGTTTGTAAATATTTTAGTCTGTACCAGACTATCCAGTCATAAAACAACATTAGCATCGATCTACGCAATTGGGATACGATGACATGTGTCAAACAAGTCAGCGAGCTTGACAACTCGATCCCGAAGAAAGTATGACTGCATTCGACACTTTGTCAGTCAATCAATAGATTGTCTGGTCCAGACTCGATTGTTTACAGACTCATAGCTCGTCAAACAAACCCATACTCACGATAAAGTCATCTTCAGATATTTCTTCCGATGTGGAAAGGGTTTTGTCGTTTCTATTAAAACGTGCATATACTACTCGAATAAAGTAACTATGCATTATTTGATGTCATGCCACTTTTTATGCAAAAAACATAATAACATGATTTGTGGAATGTTCCTTAATCACTATTTATAACTGTTGACAGGATAATGTAGAAATCTGCATGGTTTGACACTAGGCATCGTGACACCCTGGACGAGATGTGGTGTCAAAAGGCAGTTCACAAATTCAGTATCGCTTGTGTCCACCATTGGCGTTGATGCAGGTGAGACGACACGAGGCGATTGCAAAAAGTTTGGGGAATGTTGTTCTATGTCTGAACCAACGCTTGTCCCAATCAGCTAACGTCAGTGGCTGATTCTCGGCTTCCATTTCATCCCAAGCGTGCTCGATAGGGGACAGGTGCGGAGTAACGGCTGACCAGGGGAGTACCGCAATGTTCTGCTGTCTCAGGAAATCTGTCACAACATGAATGAACATGTGGGCGGGCAGTATCTTGCTGAAGCGTAAAGTTACGTCTTAAATGAACGGCTGCACATGAGGCTGAACCATCTAATCAGTGTATCGCAGACGAGTGAGATTGCCATTGACAATAACAAGTTGTGTCCGACCACATGATGTTTCCCAATACCATAACGCTCCCGCCACTAAACCGTCGACGTTGAGCAACGCACGCGTCAGCATACCGTTCGCATCGCCGTCTACAATGTACACCATCGCCATGCCATCTGAGCTGTCCAGATGAAATCTCGACTGGACAGTTGACAAAACACCATCGCAATCTTGTCTCCTGTACCGTAGAGGCTGTATGCACCAGGCAAGACGAGTTTGCCGGTCACGTTGGAGCAAAACTGGACGTATTTCAGGCCGTCGTGGCCGGATGTTATACTCCCTCAACTGATTGGACGTAAGCCATAATGATCTGAGTAGTCAAACTGGCAGTCTAGAATCGATTCCTTTGATGGGTTAGCCGAATGTGGTTGTCTTGCTGACGTGAAGTGCTGACAAATCTCTTGTGTTCCCATCATAGACATGAGATCGTGTTTCAATAGACACCAAAATGTCTGGCCACTTCCGTTTTGGCCATTCCAGTCTCCAGCATACCCAAGGCGCGGGGACGTTGATTTTCTGTAAGCCGTGGCATGACGTACGCGCAGTTTAGGTTGAAATTAACTTGTTCAGCAGCTGAACAGTAATCGCGCATTCTTCTGTTTTTAGTATCAGGTGTGTGAACTTTAGGTGTGTGGACTTCACAAGTTGTTCATTGATGCTAGCTGGATAATGTCAGTATATCTTAAATGTTGATACGCGTGTCCGTAAGTCATACATGCCGGAACGGTAGCCTAGCCTAGCCTAGCCAAGCCTGGCCTCGTGGTTAAAGCGTTCGCTCATCACGCCGAACACCCAGGTTCGGTTCGGTTCGATTCGATTCCTCACATGGGTACAATGTGTGAATCCCATTTCTGTTGTCCACCGCAGTGATATTGCGGGAATGTTGCTACAACTAAACTCTGACATATTATGTCAACTCTTTTTCTTCAAGCGAGAAGCTGCCGGGTCCCAGTGTTTCAGCACCGCCGACTGAAAGTCAACTGTCCTGATCAATTTACACATGGTTCATCCTGCAGCGTGTCTTGCACTTACGGTATAACTTTACTGGGTGCGTCTAGCATCTCCTGCGAACTGAATAACGGCACTTTGAGCTGGGTCACCCCTGGAGGAACACCTACTTGTGACGGTAATTGATAATTGTCAATCTCTTCTTTCTTTACAAAGTGAATTTGTGTGGGTAAAAAGGTGTACTCAGGTTCTATCCAGAACATAAACTGTTCACTGGTCCTGAAACTAAATTACGTGTTTTGAATCATTTACCGAAAACATATCCTGTCTCAAATACCTGGGAAGGTGTTTCAATATTTATAGTGAGTTACGTCCTTAATGCATGTTAACGTCCAATAATGGATATTCTACCATGACTTAAGTAAATACTGGATTTTGATTGGTTAATCAAAGTCATTCCAACACAGTAACATGTATCTTTTTAAAATCTTAATAACGCGGTTATGGTAGAATGGAGATATACATACTGTGTTGGAAAATCAGAGGTATATAACGAAATTATAACAGCTCTGAATAAAAAATATGGAGCTTTTATAATTTCTGATTTTCCAACACAGTATCTTTATCTCCTAAATAACCGGATAAGATCGTTTATTTGTGAAGTATATGAGCGTGCTCGCTTTAGTGTCTTATTTTGCTGACGAGTTTTTTCCTTGAATCTTTATTATCACCTTGATATATTGTTCAAAAGTGCGTAAACTCGATCTATCCCCCTCACTCACACACGCGGTGTGTGTGCGGTGTCGGCCCGGGAAAGCGAAATTTCAATATTCCCTATTCCCGGTAAAGCGAAAACCAAAGTTGAGCTAGAAGTCCCGCGAAAGCGAATTGCTATGATAACATCGGATTACCGCACATCAGATTAGCGCGCGACCCCAATACTCGTTCTGTGAGCCGCCTAACTGAGATGAAGTTTCAGTTGTTTCAAGTTTCAGCACGTACGTGACCCTACTTAACTATAGTTTTATTAATCTATGTAATGAATTATTATCATTGTTAAAAGAACCTCATTCTTCCTGGCCGAATTTGTCAAAGTTCATTTTAAGATTGTTTGTAAACACTTTAATTGAAGTATCATTTAGTCATCTTGCTGTACATTTTGTATGTACTCCTTTGTTATACTCATGTACCACCGATATCTGTTTTCCCGCGTAAAGCCCAACTCAACTCAACTCAACCTTTCTGGCACTCCACGACCAAGCATAAAATGGAGTGTTTATTATCCCCTCAAAGGCTAGAAATCTCCACATTCCTATCGATTGTTTGTTTAAATGTTTTGAGTGCATGATCCTACCAATCATGTTATATGGCTGCGAGGTGTGGGGACATTCAAATATAGACATTTGAGAAAATGTTCACAGGTTATTCATGAAATCTGTTCTGAAACTATGCAAGAGTACACCATCCTAAATGCTCTACGGAGACACTGGACGAATTGCTATCTCTGTATATATTAAAAAAGTGAATAATTTCAGTTTGGTTTAAACTTGCTACTAATGTACAACAATATACAATGTCGGTTATAATTCACAATGTTTTATCACAAATGCTAGAAAATAATATGCATGCTTCACCATGGCTTGCTAATGTTAAACGTATTTATTTATTTATTAAATTTCTACCATGACTACGGTATCAGACTAATACTCACATTTCTTTGTTTTTCTTGTGTATTGAGAGTCCCGGGAACACTAAATTCAGTGTTCACTGTGGCTTGACAGTTCCCGCGAAAGCGACACCTAAATTGAGGAGGTTTGGTCCAGATTTCGCTTTCCCCGGGCCATTACCGTGTGTGCATGTTTAGTGACATAAATGGGCGGAAGGACACTCCACTGTTAGTGTAGACTCACCTTGTGAGGGAGGCGGGATGTATATCATTTAATGAGAGAACTATGTCAATATATCATTATCATCACTGTCAGTATATCATTATCCACTATGTCAGTATATAATTATCATCACTATGTCGTATATCATTATCATCACTATGTCGTGTATCATTATCATCACTATGTCGTATATCATCATCATCATCACTGTCAGTATATCATCATTATCACTATGTCGGTATATCATCATCATCACTATGTCAGTATATCATTATCATCACTATGTCAGTATATCATCATCATCACTATGTCTGTATATCATCATCATCATCACATCATATGTCAGTTTATCATCATCATCACTATGTCAGTATATCATCATCATCACTATGTCGTATATCATCATCATCACTATGTCAGTATATCATCATCACCATGTCAGTATATCATCATCATCTTCATCACTATGTCGTATATCATCATCATTGCTATGTCAGTATATCATCATCACTATGTCGTATATCATCATCACTATGTCATATATCATCATCATCACTGTCAGTATGTCATCATCACTGTCGCTGTCATCATCACTATGTCATATCATCACTATGTCAGTATCATCACTATATCATTATCATCACTATGCCGTATATCATCATCATCACCATATCATTATCATCACCATGTCAGTATATCATTATCATCACCATGTCAGTGTATCATTATCATCACCATGTCAGTATATCATTATCATTACTATGTTAGTATATCATTTTTATCACTATATCGTATATCATTATTGCTCGCCACGCATTTGCTGTTACCTTATCGTCACAACCCACATCACTAAAATCCATACAAAGTAAACTTTTTTCAGGTACAGAACTGTGAGGAGCGTTCAAATAAATTGAAAGTATGTTACTGATATGTCACTGAAACATACCGCTGCCATATAACTTGCATATTGCTGAGTGCAAACATACAAACAAACAAACACCAAACAAACTGAAACCGTTAACTGTGGTTTTACTCTTGTCGTGGCGAAAATTGTGCGTGTCCTTCAGGATGGTGGACAACAGACGAAAGAAAAGGAAGCGGGAAACGTTAATCACAACAGTAGCCGTGTTTATTGTAGTTGAGGAAAGATGGTCGAAATAAGTTGATTGTTAACACGTGACAGAACGCACATCGGTGCCTAGTGGCCAATGTTCACGATGTAGAGGCACGCTCAATCACATCCATCCATCCACCACATCCATCCATCCATCAATCCATACACACACACACATTGATGACTGGTGGTTTAGTCACTGTCGTCGAGTAAATTGAAGCAATGTTCTCTAATTTAGCAACAGCCTCCATATCTGTTTATTAGTACCATTTGTTCCGTCCACTTCTGTCCACGATCTGGGCCCGGCTCTTTGACTCGCCTCGTCTTGTCTCCCTGACTGATTATGTGAGTCAGGTTTTATACATAGGGACACTACGCCATGTTGTGCACGGTCACTGACCTGTACACAGGTACATACGTAAGATCCGCATACGTAGGGAGATGTTAATTTACTGATAGCACTGAGAATTAACTGTCCTGCCCGGAGGGGGTTTATGATGAGAGGGTGTATACCGAATGTTTGTTGAATACATTATACAAAGGAAATAAAATTTTCGGTGTACTTTGGATACATATTGAAACAATTAGGTCGTGTGAATATAAATTATGAAGTTTTAAGGAAACTTATTGAAATGGTTTGCTCTATGACATTTGAGATGGAGCGTGTTGAACTGTGTAGACGTGGGCATCCTGTTCACACCTAATATGATATAGCTATACAGAAAACTAAATATTGCTTATACATTACATTATTGTATATATACTGAGTCAAAAAAGAAACTTCACATTCTTTCTTCAGGGCACTATAAAAGAACAAGAGATGGTAAGATGGTTAAATTGTTATTATTTCATTGCTGAGATCTGTGTGATGTACTCGATACACTGACAGTGCCATAATCAGTTCCATTAGGCTACACCGGCGTTCCAAAACATGGGTATACAGAATGTCAAGTCACAAGAATAAAAATGAGAAATTTCTCAGTTCAATATCGTGTATGGCCGCCCCGCGCATTCACCACTTCCAAACACCGCCTCCTTCTCGACTGCCTGATGCTTGTGAACACGTGAGTGGGGATTCTGCGCCATTGCTCTTGCAAGGCAGCGCCAAGGTCCTGCAAATTCTGAGGTTGGTTCCTAAGACCACGAAGCCTTCTCCCAAGTGCATCCCAAACGTGCTCTATTGGATTAAGGTCAGGGGACCTCGATGGCCAGTCCATGACGTTGATTCCAGCGTTTAGAAGGAAATTTCGTGTCAACATCGCGGTATGCGGCCGAGCATTATCATGCTGGAACTGTAGACCTGGGCCATGAGCCGCCATGAACACCTGGTCGCAGTAAGCAGCAGCCATGAGGTTTCCAGTAATCGGGAACGGTTGTTCCCACAGAAAGCACCCCTGCCGTCCGAATCTAAGCCTGCCGTCCGCGAATCTGAGGGTAAACCTGGATTCATCACTAAAGACGACTCGATTCCCGTCTCTCTGGGTCCATCGGAGGTGACGTTGGGCCCACAGCAGACGTTGACGTTGATGAAATGGCGCCAATATTGGCCCACGATATGGATGTCGAGAATGGAGATTGGCAGCCCGCAACCGATTTCGAATGGTCTGTGAGGACAGTCGACCTCCAAACATCTCAGCCCTGGTTCGTGTAGCCGGCAGAAATCTGTCACGTAGGTGACGTAGGACGATTTGACTGTCTTCTGCTCGTGACGTCACACGTGGACGACCTGACCTTGGGCTATCAGAAGTGGTGCCAGTTTGTTATAGACGACCAAGTCATACACAGTACGATGGCTGCATCCAGTTGCTCTTGCGACGTCAATAACTGATCTTCCCGCTTGCAACATGCCAACGGCACGCCACGTTCACGTTGCACATTTGACAATCGTGGCATTTCAAGTACCGTTAGAACTGTGGTTTTTCAATTCTTGAGGCCAATGCAAACACGTGCATATGAAGAAAACTTCGATGCGAAGATCACGTGATCGACTGCACGTGCAAAACCTGATTTGGCACTAACGTCATTTGCACGACGAATGGATGGGTTTGAGTGGGTTTTGCTAACGTTTTTCTAGAGTCGAAAGATAGGGATCCCATTTCGGATACATAGATGTATCATCAGAGAAAAATTATTCATTATTTTTCAAATTACATTTTGTGAAGTTTCTTTTTTGACTCAGTATAGTCAGTCAACAGGTGGATGTTCTACAAAGCCATCTCCACTATAACTCCCGGTTCTTAACATAGACTTACATAAGTTTCCGTCCCTCGGGAATATTGCTGCTTATGGTATTCAACACGAAGCAATTAATCATTGATGCTTATGTATTCCAGAGAAGCCATGTATCGACCCAGCGAATCCTCCTAATTCAAAGCTAGAGTGCCAGGCATTCTCTGGTGGCAAGATGTGCAATATGAAGTGCAATCCGGGTTATATACGTGCCAGGAATACCAAGACTTCATCGCTTGTTTGCACTCCTTCTGAAGGCAAATGGCCAGATGAAAGTATCCATGGATGTGTCCGTGAGTATGCTATTTCATAGTATGCCCTTATAGGGACAATTTCCATGTTCTTGTCAATGTATATTCACAGCGTGGAAATTTCAGCCAACCGCTTCACTTATACATGTACCAACATAACATGAATTGCTACCAAATATGGTGAAAGGAGTTAGAGAATGCAAATTCTGGTTCCACGTCACCTTGCATAATACTAAGGTCGTCATGTATATTTTTTCACGTGGAATAACCTTGATGATGTCATAATGTAGGGCTATGTAATTTGTTCATTTATAATGTAATAAGTTTAAAATTGACATAATGCAGGTAAAATGCATGTAACAGTTAGTTCTCAAAGCGTATTGTTGTAACGTTCGGGCGTCAGTTGTCCCTACTACAGTCACCTGCTAATATGGCCGTTCCTCATTGTCCTTGGATGTAAGGTCGGACTCTACACTCAAATGGGCCCTGAGGGATGGTAAGTAAAGGAGTGAGGGGTCGGACGACCGTGACTCCAAACTAACCACATTACACTCATGTACTGGCCCACATATATTGAAAGATAAACGCAACACGAAGTTCTGTACTCGCATTGGTTTATTTTGCCTCAGTCCATCTTACTTACTGACTTCAACACAAGATAGGTTTGACTCATCCCATATTGGGAACTGAGTGACATGGGTTGATTTCCGTCAGTTGAAAAGCGCGCACTACTATACCCGTGTTAAAGTTATCTTTTTTAAATGGTTAACGGTTCAATGGCCTGATCTTGATCACATGCTCCCATACATGGTTTTAATTCGTTAACAACTGTATTGACCTTGATCTCGTGTCGTGATTGGGAAATATCGGTCAGCATGCATCGTTCACTCCCACCTTTTCAACTGTCTTGTCGATTGTTTTAGTGTGAGCTTAATCAGTTTTGAATCTCATGACGACTGTGTTCCGTCTTACCTCTCGAAACCTGCGGCAAAATCTATTTCTCTGTAACTCGCGGCATTCTGTCTCCATTGCTTTCCTGACCTTAATCACTCATAAGAATAACCGCAAATCTTAATAAGGAATCTGATGTAATTTTCTAATGGCTTAGGGATGCATTTTACCTTGTAACAGTATGCATGCTTTGGCTTAAAGGCGTATCATGATCGCACATTGAACCACGTGTTTAGGTTGTCATAGTTTAGTTGGTTTCACACAACTTTCAGCGATAGTACAGCTATATCATAAAATGACTTCACAAATCGTACCATGTAGGGAATCTAACCTGTGGTGACGAGCGACCTCTTAACCACTAGGCTGCCCCACAGCTCTCACTGTATTTGAACGTATAGTCTCACATTTGTGAGACATGCATGCATGCATCAAGACGGATGACTTCGTGTGGTTCAGTTACAACAGGTACATCTGATACCAAATTCTAAAACTGAATGTTTACTGATTAAGTTTTCATGGCGCCATGTCAAACCGTAATTTGTTCCCATTTCCAACTTCAGAAAAACTGGAAAGTCGTATAAGTGTTTGGGGTATCCGACATCTAGTGCATATTTGGCATAATAATTAAATCACGCCAACTGTCGTTTCTCACCTTCATCTAGATTATGCGATTTTTCTCTGACCCAAGAGAATAATTAACTTGAATAAAAATGGCGGAGGTTTCATTAAACCCCAACACCACCACCACCATACCGTACCGTACCGTACCGATTATCAAAGACTTATATGTGCTTTATTTATTATTTCAAACGGCCAGAGGCGATGGGATAGCCTAGTGGTTAAAGCGTTCGCCTGGGTACTATTCCCCACAGGGGTACAATCTGTAGAGCCCATTGCTGGTGTTCCCAGCCGTGATATTGCTGCAATATTGCTAAAAGGGGATTGAAACCCAACCCACTTCTTGTTTCCAAATCACGGCACCATCTCCAATTAGCCTTTTGGTTACAATGAAAGGCTAACTCTAGCGTCGTACGAATTTGGGCGAAAACGAAGCTGTGCTGACGAATAAGTGCAGGATACTAGTATTTATCATCATGAAACACATATGTAAGGCCCTTGATAATCAAGTATAAAGGGCGTACGTTGCTTTTCGACCCGAACCCATCAAAGTGCTCCAGAACCAACAGCAATATATTCTTTTAACATTGTGTCATTTCAGGGAAAAGAGAGGCCTCCATTCTTGAGACATCTCTCGGTTATTATTGGTCATCCAGGTGCACAGACGAGGACGTACAAAATGTTACCGATACATTTGAAGAGCTAATGAGTTTAGAAAGGTTCTATTCATATTGCTCTATGTGTACAGTTCATAACATAAGGGCTGCATGCAATGCAAATCGTCGTGGTACCAAGTTCATGGTAGTGAAAATGGAAGTGCAGAAGGGAATCCTTGATACAGATGACAGTGAGACAACAGAGATGGCGATGAAGACGGTTGGACGGAGCCTTTACAGCTGGCTTAGACACAAGCTGAAGACTGTCAACATTATTGGCAGGAAGAGCAGAGTTGTGTTCAAGAGGTACCCCATTATAGCCAGCTGTGACCCTCAATACGCGCCGGACAAAACGTCCAGAGCCTGTGGTAAGACTAAATGACGATGTACGTATTGAGCCTAAAATACTTCTGATATGTGCATGATTAAAATAACTGTATGATATTAAAGAATGGTTTATATTATTCACATAAACTTAATACTGACATGCACATGTCGGTAGTTTCCGGTCATGTAACATCTAATCACATGTACCCCCTAATGAAACGGCAGAAATGGATAAACTGGAGTGCAGAGCAGTCATAAACTTTTTGGTCCTCGATATTGATATTGACATTTGTCAAGTCTCTCCAAGAGTCCATCAGTCCATTTCTCGCCCACGCGGATTTTCCTAAGGTTCAGTACATGTCACTTTGCATGCACATAACGTGAGAAGAAATAAATATATTGTATTATAAACAAGTTCTTATCCTAGTTTCTGACTACTGACCAACTTTGTTTTGGATCTGCCTTTGTTACTGTGTCTAACCTCTTTCAGCTGCATGTGGGGTAGGCTTTGAATATGACGGACAGACCGGGTGTCGCAAGTGTGGCCCGGGAACATACCAAGATGACACCGGTAATCTAAAATGTAGGCGGTGTCCTGCTGGTACTTTCACAATAACCCTTGGAAGAAGCAGGGAAGACTGTAGAGGTAAGAATTCCCTCATTCGCCCAGCCCAGCCCAGCCCGGCCCAGCCCAAATCTGATTCCAGAGACTGTGTACATGTGCATGTTGAAATATTGATGAAAGGATATTCAACTGCCCCAACAAAATAACCTTTTGTTCATAACTTTCAATGTACATATCAATGTATACGAAATTAGTAAGAAATTGTCATCTGTCATCATAATCTTCACGTACGAACGTGCCAGGCATATTCCACCCCAATATTATGCTGTCTTCAAAATAGCATTAGAAATACTAACTAAGGAGTGAGTGAGTTAGTTTAGTTTTACGCAGCATTCAGCAAGATTCCAGCTATATGGCGGCTGTCTGTAAATAATCAAGTCTGGACCAGACAATCCAGTGATCAACATCATGAGCATCAATCTGTGCAATTGGGAACCGATGGCATGTGTCAACCAAGAAAGCGAGCCTGACCACCCGATCCCGTTAGTCGCCTCTTATAAGCATGGGTTACTGAAAATCTATATTCTAACCCGCAAGTAATTAAGGAAGGAAAGATGGAAGGAAAGATGGGCTTCACACACTGTACCCATGTGGGGAATCAAACCCGGGTCTTCGGCGTGAATAATGAACGCTTTCACCACTTGGCTTCCCCACCGCCCCGTCGAATGTACGAATATGCGATGGTAATATCACAGTACATGAAAAACCTTGCTTAGACTACATTGATCATGATGTCAAATCTGTACTCGATCCATCAAACCATTGAACCCTCATACCTCTGATGGACGCAACTCTACATTCTGAAGCCTCACACCTTGGCTACTATGGTTTAAACTAAAGTACTGTCGGAAATAGAAAAAAAACTGTTTTTTGGCTGTTACTCTGTATCCCTAAAATTTATACAATTGCAAATAGCATATGTCGAAATAACCCACATCGGCCTAACTGGGCGTTCAGTGTGATGCGTAAAAGGATATCCAGAAAAGCATGTTTACTCGTAAAATGGAGCAAAACTTAGAAAAAAACCGAATAGCTGCTAATAACAACAGATCAGACTATAGATGACAATTAGGTCGCCCGGCCAGGTATGATGAAGGACCGTCGACACACCGATCATGGAATGCACGTGCTGCCTACAGGCACAACGGGTCATCTCAAGGATATTCTATGCGTTTTCCTGTGTGTTGAATATGTCTCAAATATTGATTAACATCTAACGTGTCGTTTTTTTCATGAATTTTTTGTTGAGATATGTAAAACAGTATGATACCAATAGAAAGGCTTAAATCAGCCATCGTATTAAATGTCTCAAAATATATAGGTAGCATGGCCACCCGAAGATCGACAGGACTGGATATTTTTTGTAGATTGTTACCTCCCCAGTTTAATTACCCTAAAGGATGGATGATCTTATCTTAGCTGATATCTCTATCCCCAAGCCCGACCCCAATCAGCGTGTGCGACACCCGTCCTGGTTTTGCTTTTGAGACGACCCCCCATGTCTGTTACATGGTAGCTACATCCTTAAGAGTTTCTCAAGTAAAAATATTATTTTGTACGTCAGCTATGGTTTCCAATGAAGCTAAGTCTAATTTCAAAATGGGCATTTAAAAAGTGTCCTTTGTAATACAATATCATCGCACACTAATTTGCATAACGCCAAGGTCTGTTCCAAATAACTCAACTTGGACTTACAAAAAAAAACCACATTGCTCATTTCTGCACTAATCTCTCCTCAGTAGTCCGTTTTTTAAAGTTTCCTATCTCCCTACCATCGAGACTGTAGCAGGGCTCCAGATAAGGGCCGTATCGGCATATGTACGGATAAAAAATATGCACGAAACGGTAGGAAATAATTTAGAAACAGTAGCAGATACGCACCACAGCAGTGGTGTATGGTCTTAGAATCATTTACAGACGTATTTATCTGAAAAAAGTATTGTTTTATTGTTTTTTACCTGTTTACACAAGAGTAGCAATGTTGTGGTGCATATATGAAACGAAACACAAGATCACATACTCCATTAAATTCAAATCAGTACTCTAAAAGTTTTTCCAGTACTCTTATATTTAAAAAATAAGGAGTACGTACTCCTGATGTTGAAAAATTATCTGGAGCCCTGCTGTAGTTAGGCCGAACTTAGTTTAACAGATATTTCACATATTACCTTGCATGTCTTTTAAGAAGAAATGGAGTATTGGACAGAATGTAACGGTGTGTGTGCATGTGCGTGTGTGTGTGTGTGTGTGTGTCTGCCTGTCTGGGTATGTGTGTCTGCCTGCCTCTGTGTGTGTGTGCGTGCGTTCATTCGTGTGTGTGTTTATTTGTTTGTTTGCTGCTTTTTTTTCTCAAACGTCACACAATATTCGATATGGCCGTCTGCGCATAACTGAATCTGGACCAGACTATCCAATGACTTGCAATATGTGTTTTGATGTACGATTGGGATACGATGACATGCAGCAAACGAGACAGCGAAACTGACCTTCTTGTTAGTCGTCTCGTACGACAGGTTGCTGCTGCTATGCATAATGAATTATGAAACTAATCGTATTTCTAACGGACACCCTGATAATAACATGTTGGACACTACAAACTTATATTTTTGCGTCCCGGACATTTGCTGTGTATTGCATTGCATTGTAGTCGAAATGCGTACAAAAACTAAAAGTTATAGCCCCTTTGAGTTTGTTTGAACCGTATTTTAGTGTACGTTATTTACGATGAGGATCTTAAAGGGAACTTTTTTTCTCCCGAAAATAGCTCCGTGTCCTAAAGGAGCCTTTTCCGATACCGGATTGGAGCCATGCAGTAAATGTCCCATTGGCCAGTACCAAACACGCCAGAGAAGCACCACATGCCAGTCTTGTGCGGAAAAGGAAGTCACTCCTTCTGTTGGTAGTGAACAGCAATCAGACTGTTACAGTGAGTACAGAGTACAGTTTTACAGTTATGTTCTGTTGGTAGGGCAGGTACACAAAGATTCGACAGGAGACACTATATTCTCTTGTATCCTTTATATCCAGAAACTGGAAGGCGTATAACGCTATTCTTGGGAATGCGAAAATGAGCATACCAAGGACGATTATAACTATATTATTTTCCCATGTTATAGCGTTTGAAGGTGGAAACGTGTGCCAAAGTATTAGTACTCAGTATTAGTAGTGTAGACCAATTGCTCCTTTGTATATAGCCACATTTTTTATGAGAATCAGCAGCCAGCTACCAATATTTTCGGAATCACGAGTGAGTGAGTGAGTGAGTGAGTGAGTGAATGAGTGAGAGAATGCAACATAGACACATCATCGCGTTACATTATGGGTTGTCAGGCGTGTGGGGAATGCTAAATACATCAGGTCCTTCGTTTACTTCCTTGGTCAAACCTACGTGCACGTACATCATGCAGACACATATGATCCTAAACTATCTGCAGGTTCCTGGTGCGTCAGGGTCTCCAACGTGGCCCCTTTCAATATGAAATAGTGTTATATCAAAATCCAAAATGAAGTAGTTATTTATACAATGTTGAATAAAGAAATGAGCACAATATGTTGAAATGAATAATCGTTTTCCACTTGTCTCATTTGTCAGTTGTACATCATTTCAGATCAGTCGTCGCATGTTTTTAGACTGAAAATAACAGACACCGGATCAACATTCGTCACACTGAAGTGGAGTCGGCCATCCCATCCCCGTGACACTCTCATTGGATACGGCAGTGCATTCCATAAAGGTTGGTAAGCCTACAAAACACTTCCCCTCCTTCTTAATCCTGTTTCTAGACTATACCTATAGCGCGTTTGTCTCCAAATGACAACTACGAATTGCAAAATACCTTAAAATTGGGAATAACTGTCATGTTGTTATGTAAAAAGTGCGCAAACACAACACTGCACCTGCAACATATGTATTAAGTAGATTGATGCTACCTACATACCAACCTACATACATACATACGTATGACTAGACTTCACTACACTAGACTACACTACACTAGAACGTCATACATAATTTCAATAAATGAGGATGCACAAAGCAGTCCAGGGTGCCGCTGTACAAGCAATCTTAGCGCAAAGGTAACCATAACTCACATACCATACCATACCATACCATACCATACCATACATAAATTCTCACAACCGTAAGTATGGCGTAATATGTAATTACGTGTAAGCGATATTGGTACTTTCTTGACGTAGGATAGATAGATTTAGCAAGGGAAGATTATATATTTTGTCGAAACAACTGTATTAACTGTACTAAATCAATGTGTGGATAGACACAGACGCGTACATACTGCTTCCTGGCGTACAAGAAGCATATATGTACTCCTAAACGTTGTGTTCATTGCCTGAAACATGTTGATATTTTCATCAAATTTGCCCTTTATTGTGCACCATTTTTTAATGCCATTCAAAGTAGTAGTATATTTACTTCAGCATCGGAGAGGAAAGACACACGGGCGTATCTGAACGACACCAGCAGTGACATCCATACCATAACAATTAGAGGCCTGGAACCCCTAACTGAGTACACGATGTACGTGTGGGCTGTCACTGTGAAAGGGCCGGGTGTGGAGAGGCACTTGAATGTTACTACCACAAATGTCACAGGTATTGTATAACTATAGACTGAGCACGTTTGCCACTTTATAAATCTTCAGTTTTATTGATCACTGGCCCGCATGGTAATTAACACATGTTAATTAACCAAAATGTTCTCAGATGTATATCTGTCTGTCCAACCAGCCAACCTACCAACCAATACATCCTGGCTAGACATGATTAAGCAACCAAATTTCCGCTTTCCGTGGAATCATCATGACATTGTCACAGTTTCGTGGCACCAAAGATATACAATATTTGGAACTAATATCAGAAGGTGTTATCAGCAACTTCAGCCATGTTTCCCGATACTTTCTGCAATGTTGTTAGTCTTCCTGTGACTTTATAAAGTGGTCAGATGTAACACATGTTATATTTAGTGTCACACTTTATCAGTAAAGTACAAATACTAGTACTTTTGAATTCCATCCGGGATTCGAACCCACACTCTCCAAAGCCAGTCACCAAATCGACAGCACACAAAGTCAGAAATCTAACCCATTCAGCAACCTCGGCTTCCCCCCAAAAATGGAAGTTGCACAACTGGTAGTCAGTCTTCCTGATATATATGATGTGGTCAATAAATAGAGAGTATGTGAGTTCAGTTTTACGCCGCACTCAGCAAAATTCCAGCTATATGGTGGCGGTCTGTAAATAATTGAGTCTGGACCAGACAATCCAGTGATCAACAGCATGAGCATCGATCTGCGCAATTCGGAACCGATGACATGTGTCAACCAAGCCAGCGAGCCTGACCACCCGATCCCGTTAGTCGCCTCTTACAAGCATGGGTTACTTGAGGTTAATTCTAACCCGGACCTTCACGGGTCTCAATAAATAAGTACATTAAAAGGCGATAGTTGTACGTGAAGTAATCGACTGAACATTCTCGACTATACCTGCCTAATGTTAACAGTAAACGCATTTTGTCACATACAGTGCTTGCAAGATGAAGAGCAATTTATACTCGTTCTTAAATAAGACTGACTGACTGACTGAGTTTGGGTTTACGCCGCTTTTAGCAATATTCCAGCAACATCACGGCGGTGGACACCAGAAATGGGCTTCACACATTGTACCCATGTGGGGATTCGAACCCGGGTCTATGGCATGACGAGCCAACGCTTTAACCACTAGGCTACCCCACCGCCCCTCTAAAATAAGAGTACACAAATAGTGTTCTTCTTCCAGTCACTACAACACAGATCCCAACCACGACAACAGCTGACCCCACACTGTGTCCGCCTGGAACAAACTCCCGAAATGGAAGGAAAGGCCCCGATGGCACGTGTTCCCCGTGTGGGTATGGCTTCTTCCAGGAAAACAGAGGTCGGAAGAAATGTAGACTTTGCAAACGAGGTTTCACAACGTGGTACAAGGGGTCGACATCAAGGTTGGACTGTGTTGGTGAGCATTTTGGAACGATGGCTCGTATGTGGTGTGTCAGATCAAGCTTGGTAAGCATTTTTGAACGATGGCTCGTATGTGGTGTGTCAGATCAAACTTGGTGAGCATTTTGGAACGATGGCTCGTATGTGGTGTGTCAGGTCAAGTTTGTGTATAATCATGCTTCCATGAAATGTTGACCTCTTAGCACAGTATTCAAGCATCAGCACTGACTGTTTCCATCAACAGAATGTTGCTCTTCATGTCGTTCTATTTAACACACTCTCTATGACATCTATGAAGAATGTGTATCACCACTCTCTATAACGTTGGGCAGTCTATGCGGACTCTTACGCATTCATTTCGACAATAATGTGCAGCAAACTTGGCCCAAATGCCAAAGTTTACATCCTTACAGGTGAGGTGGAATTGGATTTAACGTCGTACTAAAGAATATTTCAGACTTCATCTGGTTTTATAGTATCACTGAGATACCACGCCACAGTAAAGCATGAATACCCCACTCAGACACATTATACTGACGCCAGCCGACCAGTCCTTGCTGTACCCAATAATGCCAAGCGCCAGGCAGGGCCATCAAGTACCATATTTTAAGGTATTTTGGCATGACGCGGCCGGGGATCGAACCCGCGACCTTCTGCTCAAAGGGTGGACGCTGTAACCACTACACCACGGAGGCAGTGACACATCGTTACAGGTACCAGGCGATGAAGTATACATCCTTGTAAATGTTTAAATAGAGTCGCGGTAAAGTGATTTTATTCAAAATGAGATATATATTTTGATGATTACATTATGAATTATTGTATTCTGCCAATGTGCATCGTTGCTCACAATGTCGATCTGGTTCATCTAGGAATATTATTCACTGCCGCCACATAGCATTGATGTTGCTGATAGATTGTGGCGTTAAACAATTACTGAACATCCAAAACATCTTCGTTACGTGATGGTCCAATGCACAACAGCACGTGAAGTTCATGAATGTCCCCGTCTGTATCAGCCAGAACCTACTTGCACAAAGCAACCGCTACGGTCATAACAGTGTCAAACTGTGGGAGGTTAGGATCGTAGTGCTAGGTCGTAACAAGAGAAAATACTTTAAAAACATGTTTCGTTGCAGATAAAACGTGGACAACACCGATGCCACCAACTACTACAGCCCCACGAGAACCATGTGACGACGGCTACGTTTCAGACACGGGTTTCAAGCCCGATTGCACTATGTGCCCGGAAGACAAGAAGAACAATCCTGCCCGAAATGAGTGTGTTTGGTGCGACGATCATGATCCATCGTGTACCGGTAACAATCTGGTCATATTGAATATACATGTATTATGTTTCAGTAACCATAACCAGAGTCATCAATTATCATTGTTCAGTTCAGAAGGCTCTCTGCCAATCCAGTGGTCATAAATCCCCAAATCCTATTCCCTGATACTTATGCTCAGGTTATTGTTGTTGTTGTAGTTGTTGGACTTCCATGTGAAAGATAAGCAAAACTATTCTTGTTTCAAAGTTTTTTTGAGCATAATTTACCTTTCTTTGTTGCAGTCGATACAACCACTGAACTATCCTCAACTGCTGCAACTACCGACGGCGTAACCGCCAACGTCTCTGATGACAGCAACAGAACAGACAGGCGCAGTAGTACCACTGACTTCACACTTCCGGAAAGACCAACTGCATAAACTCCCTACCTCCCAACCAACCAACCAACCAACCAACATGGAACTTGCTCTCAGAAGGCTTAACATGGCTGTCTTCACTTCCTGTTTACTTCATCAATCAACGTTTCCATGGAAACGTCATCAAGCCCAAGTCGGGGCTATCCCAAATATGTGAAGGCTAAGTGCCTCTATTATGCTATAAACACGAGTAATATTGATGATTAAATGACGTATCGATGATGTAGTCTATTAGATATTGAAATTACCCGCAATATTTGTTGTCTATTTCTTATAAAGTTTCATCCTTACTGGCATAAGAACAACGAACGAAGTGTTCACGTGTACGATAACTTTATCAATACCACCTTTCTTTTGGGTGTGGGAAGCTGCTGTTGTTGAAGTTATCTCTGTGTGGTCAGCACCCTAGTTAACCACTGTGTCAAATACATTTCACTGCGTAGAAATTATTGCGTGAACGTTATCACTGTACCTGTAACAGTATGATGCATGCAGGACGTTGATACCATACAATTATCACTGTAACAAGAAATGGTCACAAATGCAAGAGGAACCACGGGTTTGTGCATGCGGCAACTTTCATTCATACCATCTTTTCTGAACATCGAAAGATGCTATTGTGAAAGTTGTCAGTATGTATTTCTGCCACAGTTCATGCTAAAGTTTACTTTATAACTGGGTAAATGTGTGTTATCATGGCAAGTTCGTCACCAGTTTGCCGAGTTTTCGCAGCTACATCATATCACAATTATGTGTATGATACAAGCTACCTTATACATCATCAATTCAAAATAAGGAAACATCATATTTAGAAACAGCCATGTTAAATGATGATTTAGGAATGTGAAAAGAAATGCTTTAAAGCTGTCCTGTCCTGCTGTCCAATGTCCGTATTCCTTTGTCCGTTCACTTAACGTACACTTATTGTCCATTGTCAGCGCACCATGTACCGCGGGTACTGTCTGTAATGTAATGTGGTGGTGTTACTGTAGTGTTCATGTGATTCAGTTTGTGTTGTTTCATTTATGAGTTGTCTGTTTACATGTGCAAAATGATACTCTTTACACTACTTGCAAATACAAGGTTGTTATTTTTTTTAATTAGTGTAGTCTACAGATAGGCCATGACATACGTTCAGCCCTTGTATTTGTGACTTGTGTTTGGGTCTCATGTTTGTTATAGGTGCGGTATCGTCACGTTTCGCATTCGTTGATGAATATTCCCCATCCTTTTCATGAATGGGATACGGAATGTTGACAAATAAACGCATATGGCCATATATGTGTCTACTGTTGTATTTAGTAATATTGTGTCCAGCGGCTAGTTTTCAGCCTGCTGCTTCGACCACTGGGTATTGTTGGTGAGGAAACAGTACTGGTTGTATATCTTTAGAATTCATTTGTCACAGAATTGTTCGCAAGAAATGTTAATGCTTGAGGGTGTTTAATTTCTCCCAGATATTATTCTTGCATCTTTCTTGCAGCTATCTCTTACTGAGTGAGTGAGTGAGGTTTTATGCCACTTTGGAAAGACCGTATGATGCAGGTCTCAGGTCTGTTTGAATGTTGATCAAAGTTACCATTGCTAACATACTACTAACATGCAACGGAAGGACGATATTCATCACAGGCACTATTATTCATTTATTCCTAATCATTTATTTCAATGAACATTACATATATTCACATAATTACAACATCTATATTTGGAGCTAATCATAAATATAATACATTAGATATAATTTCTAACTACATAACGTAATGCTTCCTCAAAAACTAATAAGAATTGAATGACGTTAATTTCTTCAGTAGTGCTCTTGGCAATAAATGTATGCAAATTTCACAATATTTTGTAACATAATCAGTTGACGGATATGCTCTGCTCATGTAGAGCGTCAAATGAATATAGAAATAAAGAACACACCAATACCAGAAAAATAACTAAATTACATGAGGACATCTCATAAATACAATCAAACGGGTACTTTCTAGACACAATTTTGTACAAATAGGTGTTCTGCAGCAGCATTCACGGAAATATGAATAAAATGGTTTTTGGCGTTCATTTTATCAATTTTAAAACCGATTAACATTATCTTGTTAAACATTCAATAGTCGCCTTTTTTCTCCAATTTTTACTCTTTGGTATTATTGGCATATTCTTCCGAGAAAGAATAGTTTACAGGAGAGAAAACGTGCAAAGATTACGCCTTGAAATTTCATCAGAGTCCCAATTTACTTTTACGATGCAAGCTATAGCATGCAAATACTCTCTGTATGTCTGCTAATATAATAGTTTCTGTAATAATAATAAATTTCATATATTTTTATTAATATTTGAAAAAAAATAATGATATGGATCAAATGAGAATTATCTTTTCTTTCACACTACATTTCACACTTCAATTCTTGTCACAAGATTATCATATCACATATTCACCGCGTTGATTATCCCGCGTGCAGTCACAATGAGTCCGGACATTGAAACGTTGTATGCCAACGTGGTCAACGCTTTTAGTTTAGAAAAAGATCGGGGAAACCTCTTGTTAGTCCAGACAGAGTGTTTTACTGCACTTGTCGAGCATTGGGAGTTCCACATCACAAACTTTATTCATTTGTAAAGAAAATAAAGCAAGTAGGGTTCATCTCAAAAGTTAAACCAGACAACCCAGTGATCAACAGCATGAGCATCGATCTGCGCAAATGGGAACCGATGACATGTGTCAACCAAGCCAGCGAGCCTGACCACCCGATCCGTTAGTCGCCTCTTACGACAAGCATGGGTTACTAAAGGTTCATTCTAAACCGGACCTTCACGAGTGACTAAAAAGAACTATTATTGGACAACAAAGCCTGCCGTGATGTTTCTTACGTTCAAATTGTATCCCAAAGTACAAACATTTTTTCTATAATATAATATCTACCGAATCACATTTTTCTTCATATGTTTCTTAAATATAATTGTGATATGTTTAATCAAGTTATTCAAATTATTAGAAATTAATATATCTTTTTAACGTTTTGTCTTTTACTAATAAATTTAATGCAAGCTATTTTGTTGATATAAACTTCATTTATCGATGTCAGCCATGAACCATCATTATATTAAATATACATGCTTTATTATCTAAATTATCAATTATTGCAAATGTCAAATAAATGTTATCGCCAAGAAATGAAAATTGAACACCAATGAAACCCAAACCAACAATTAAAGCCAATATTTGAGACGCCCCCTAAATGACAATGCACTCGCATACAGTTGTTGTCATTCATCACCGATATTGACGTCAGTTATACTCTTTTTCTTAATGGCACAATGTGACACATTTTAGACATTATCTAGGCCTATATCATAATATTGGGGTATATGCACTCACATTAGCTTGCTATTGATGCAATAAAAGACTTATTACCCCTTACGACTTGCCTGTAATCGATAACTGAGGCCAACAGCTTCCAAACACTTGCCATATATGGAATGCAAACAGTTACTCCTTACATTAAAACTGTTGCACGCGGTGTTGGATCGAATTGGTTCCAGTCCCTAGTTGTAATATTGGGATATTCGTAAAGAGTGCTCCAAGGGACATAACTCTATGGGGCTCACTTGAAATAATGTTCAGCCGGTAGAGGTCGCGAGAGTCGAATTAATACAACGTTGCATCATTCATTCGAATATTTTAATCGAAATACGTACTGTTAATTGGAATAAATTATATGGTAGCTTCCTTAGGGGCTGATAGTTAGTATTATTGAGAGATATGCATTATTTATTTTTAGGGAAGCGTGGTGTGATACTGTGCCTTTAAAATGAGAATTATCACAATGCCAAAAATCGGTCACATGTTGTTAAAGAATTTATCAATAAAAGGCGTAAACAAAGTGTCAAGTCACCAACATCCTGCAAATTCTGGGGTTGGTTCCTGGGTTTGCGCAGACCTCTACCAGGAGCTTCCCAGATGTGCTCAATTGGACTGAGATCAGGTGACCTTGACGGCCGATCAAGGTTGATTCCTGCGTTCTGCAGGTAATTACTGGTCAAGATGGGTGTATGGGGTCTGGCATTGTCATGATGAAAGTACAGTCCTGGACCATGTGCTGCCATGAATAAGTTCAGGGGCTAGCACCTAATCGCGGTAACCTGTAGCAGTAAGGTTCCCACTGATAACCAGCAGTCCGGAACAGGCAATCGCACAGAAAGCACCCCAAACCATGACACTTTCGCCCCAAATCTATCAATGTCCTGTACACAACACTAGACATACTCTCCACACTCTCATCCTACCATCAGCGAAACTGAGGGTAAATCTTGATTCATTACTGAAGACAATTCGATTCCATCGGAGGTGTCGTCGAGCCCACAGCAAACGCTGACGTCGATGCAATGGCGTCAAAATGGTTCCGCGATATGGTCATCGAACACGATGGTGATCAGCTCGCACCCGGTTTCGGATGGTTTGTGCCTATAATCGACCCCTACACAGCTCATTTCTGGTTCCTGTTGCCGTCAAAAGAGGGTTACGGAGGTGACGTAGCACATTTTGACGGTCCTCCGCCTGTTACGTCACACGTGGTCGACCTGGCCTAGGGCAATCAGCAGTGGTGCCAGTTTGTTGCAGTCGAGTCTGTAAATCCTTTTCTTTGTTTTTTGCTCTGTACAGTTGTTGGGAACATGTGCGATCGAATGTACCTGCAATGGTAAGATCACGTGACCAGCGACACGTGAAAAACACGTTTAAGCACTGTTGTAGGGTGCTTCGATGTTTGGATTCTCTTCAATGTTTTGCAGTGACTTTTTTCGTGAGTCGAAACTTAGAGATTAATACTTTGATAACCGAAATCTGTCTGCTATAACAATTCATTTTTTTATTTACAAATATAAATTGTGAAGATTTTATTTTGACTCAGTATATCTTGTCTCACTTAAATGATTCCAAGTTCTAACAGGTGACCAAGCGCATTTAGAAATTCATGTTGAGTGTACTGGTGGTGAACTGTTGTTTCAATGTTATCAAAGAGCTTTCTGTCTCCCAGTACATTCTTTTCCTATTGGTAGGGGCTGCTCCGACGTTGATCTGGGAGATCTTTGACTTGCCTGCCGTCTCTATCTTGCGGATGGTTTCGATAAAATATTAATTTTTGTGTGCCGGTGTGGCAGCGTTTTGTTCAAACGGTTGTGAAATGCCTCCAAGTTGTTGTTTGTCCGTAGTCCCGTTGTTTGCTCACAATTCCAAAGTAGCCGGGGAAATCTGGCATCATCATCTAACCAGCTGGTGACAATGTAGTCGTTGAAGTTAGTGAATCTCATAGCTTATGGTGTTTACTACAAGGCATCCACCTATGTGTCTTGGATAGCAACAATAGGGAGAAGGGCAAGTCTGGTAGCTCGTCTGGTCCTAGTCTGTACAGTCTTTGCTGCACCTCAGCCTTCAGAAGTCGGGCATAGGTAGTAGACTGGTGGTCTGGGAGAAGGGCAAGTACTTAGGAGTAGGTACTTGCGTGAACTAATCGGGACAAGAGGTTATGGTGACGTCCGTGGAGAGTGTCTCAGCTGACTGTTAGGCTTTGAGTTGTTCACTTGTTGAAAATACCAGCATCTTGTCATCGTTGCTTATTAATGTCGCGTTCTGATGATTCCTACTAATTAGCTACAATAGGCATGACAGTTACCGGGTAAAACATTTGTCACGGAGCTGTCACCATAGGAATATGTTTGGTTCAATATCAAGCCAAAATCGGGTGCTTTAGTCAGGCAAACAGGGCAAGGAAACGTCGTACAGGCTATATTGTGCAAAAACATTACGTTTCTGTGGGTTTGAGACGTTTATTGCTCTTGAGTATTCTGTTGGGGATATGTGGCAATGTAGAGTCTAACCCCGGCCCCGGTCCCCGGCCCCGTCCCACCACACTTCAACAAACCATGCTGTCGGTCGATCCCATGGATGCAGTCTGACTTCAACAGACAGACAAAGAACAATCCGAGGTATTGAATGTCCTAAAAGAATTAAAATCCGATGTCAAAACTCTGTTCAGGAGACTGAGAACAGAAAATCAACACCTCAAAACAGAACTCTCACTTATGAGAGAACGTCTAGATGACTTCGAGTGCCAAAGTAGACGGAATAATCTAATAATTCACGGAATTCCAGGTACAGTTAACTTGACTTGGGAAAACTCTGAACAAAAAGTTCGCGAATTTCTATCCAACACTCTTGACACTGAAAGCAGGAACGACATCTTCATAGACAGGGCACACCGACTTAACATGAGAAAAAAA